AATGACTCGCCAGCTGTCGGTGACATATGAAAAATAGACTATACTCCCTAATGTTAGGAATGCAACAACGGATTATATCACAATTGCTGCGTATGTAGGCTCTGGTCGGAAGGGTGTAAAGTTTTAAACATTCTATACGACGTCATCGACGCATTGATAGACCACCCAAACAATAGAATATCGTAATTGGTGAATACCTGCGCACTGCTCCTTAAATATATCAAACGTGGCCAAAATGACAAATTTACTAACGGATGTCTTGAAAATTCGTGTCACCGGCAAGTTTTGCGGTGTATAGACATTGCAAACGAGCTTAACAGATGCTTAGACACATCAGACACGGTTCTTACAAGTTAAACACATTCAGGATGTTTTTCACACATTATTAACAACCCAAATTGTGCAAATATGTTTATACTTCATTAATATATTTGCTGGTCGAGACAAGTCTTTGTAGGCCGATAGGTTGAAGTCACGAAAGGCTTTTTGTAGCACCATGCACGCTGTGGCAAGTTTTCCCAATTTTTAAAAAGAGATATTTGGCTCATATAAAGAGTATATTTAGCTACTTTAGTGAACCACAGTGAACCAAGACGTTTTTGGTATTGATCCTAACCTTTCTTGTTAGTACATGCACATGACAATTTATAGGGCAGAACAGCGTTCTGTTTTGACTGTTTGAGTAATTGTGTACAGCAGAAGCTGAAGTGATAAATCAGTCCCAATCGATTTGACATTTAGCAACATTTTGTCCAACACAGATTTTTGTTTTTTGTATTAATCTTTCGAATCAAAATACTTTATTCATGCATATCCAAACATCAAAACTTTGCTCATTCTTTTATTATACTGGTTTTCCATTCACTGCAAACATTCGCGAGGAATTTGATATCCTATATATTGCTTTCGTTTGAAGCAGAACATATAGCAAATTTCATTGCATGACCGCACAGAATGTGATTGCACAAAATCGACTGTAAAATGTTTCACTGAATGGAAATTCCCATTGAATGTGGTATCTGCGGCTCAAAATTCCTTTCACGTTTTGGAGATGATGGGTAATCTTGTGTTTGTGTTGATGCCGCGCCTGAAAACAGGATAATTAAATAGACTTTGATAAATTGATTCTGTAGTGCCTTTGAGAAGATTTGAATATATAAGCTACTTGCCTAAAAACATGCGCGGATGCCATAAATTATATTGACCCACCCTTTAGGTGGTTTTGTCGTAACTACGCCTTATTTGGATCCGTATATGAAGGCTATTGACTGTTGTATGGTAATTCTGACGAAGCATACGGCAGGCAATTAAAGTTTATATCAAAGATCAATCAAGTTGTTTGGTTTGAGCGTCACTTGAAAACAATCTGTTGACAATATAATTTAGTATTGTTCCACTTCCCGTTTCAAAAATGCTACCAAGCTGTTTTTGCCAAATACTGATAGGCATATGAAAAATCAATTACATGAACTATTTGCCAAAAATAATAGCCCATCGGTATCGTCAATTTGTTCGGCTGGAGTTTGTTCAAATATATTTTTCATGGGAAACAAAAATATAAATGACATATTGAGGTGCGTATCATATAACCTCTTACAACTCCTGCTAATGTCATGAGCCCGCAACACGTGAGCCCGCAACACATGAGCCCGCAATACGAGTTCATTGCGGTTACATAAAATCGAGCCCTTTTTCAATAGCTGTCCTTCTGTGTCCATTATACTAAATATTATAATACCGTCATGCAAATGTCAATATAATTTGTTAATCCAATGAAACCAAGTCCCGCGTATACAAATTCCTTCGGACTTTAGCGAATAGCGCTGATTTTAAAGTTCTCGATAAAAGCGACCCGCACGGAAACCTTAGTGATGATCGTATTTTCTATCTAATTATAGGGTTTCTTATAACAAAAGCTCGCGATCAATATCGCCTTAAACGCATTCCTTGGGTAACAAATACAGGGCAAACCTATTTCCCGTATATATAATCCAATAATTTGTTGAGATTTTCTACAAATTGAACCGAAAACTTGTTATAATAAGCCATGTATATTTCTCCCTTCGTGGAGAGTTGAGAAACGTGTTTTCACAACTTACAAGGGCGTGTTAAATATTGAGACGATGAGAATGGCTTTAAATTGAAAAACCATGTTTTTTAACCGAACAAGATAATCGGTTCAACACTTTTAATTTAACTTAAAAGTTCCTTACGAATGGCGCCTAGCTAAAAAAGTCAAAACGCCTGTATGTATATCTTTAAGAGTTTCAGGCAGTTGATAAACTGTTTGAAAAATCAGATTCCTCTCTTGCCTTGTCATATTTATATAGCGTAAAATATAGACTAAATGAGCTCCGCAAACTCAGAGATGTAATCTGTTATCTAAACATTCAATTATCCAATATACGCATTAGACTCTGATTCCTTTATTGTGCACTAAGTGCAAAATCTCCTTTGTTTAATTAAAAGTACCGATGAAAAGCGAAAAACTATCAAATACAAAAGGTTTTAAGAGACACTGAGGAAATTATCCTGATTTTACACGCATTTGAACCGAATGGATGTGCATGTGTGGTCCCTTTGAGCGTTTGGGAGACAACTTTAACAAAGCGAGATACTGTTAACTGTTCAATGTTTCTAGTTTTCTTAAAATTGGCTTAAAGGCCAATATGAAGTTCATATCCTGCTGTTTATATAGTTTTATCTGGTTGCAAATCAGTTCTGGATAAAATCAAAACTTGAGTGTTTGATCTGACATAAACATGCATCACGTTATTCAGGGGTGATTATATAACTTCATGCATGGGAACCGGAACACGCTGTCATGCACTCCGTTGAAAATGAGATTTGCGGTACAAAGTTTTTAAGCAGAAACGCCGGCTGTAGTGGCGCTGGTTAATCGTCTAAAAATCACAATAGACCCATATTAATATAGTGTATACATTTTGATCTAACTAAAGAGATATACCACGGTGAATTTGTGCAGATTCACTTGATCACTTGGAGTTGGGTGCAGTATAAGCAAAATATAGAGATTCTTAATTCCTACATCAATTGTATAACCTTATAGTATCTATTGTGGTTTAATATGAACATGTAAAATCTTCTTTCAAGACCCTACAATCATGTGCAAAAATTATGAGACTTTACGTATTTTAAACACATTTTTTCATAGAAACAACATTGTTTTGGGGGGAGAGGGGGGTAGATACTAGGTGTCATGACCGTGTCTCAATAATTTTTGCACATGATTGTAGGTCGAAATTCGAAATATCAAGATTCATTCGACTGCATGGTGAAGATGTTGAAGGAATTATTGAGAGCTACCTGCAAATGTCAAATTCATGCACTGGTCTTAAACATTTGCCAAGTTGCCACACCGAGCAAAACTGCTGAATTTACCTCTGATGATGGTCAAGTCAATCCATAATTGCACCGCTTGCATGGTATACCATTTCAAATTATTGATAATCTCATGCATACCCGGTTTTTATACAAAGCTGCCCAACTTGGAGATTTCAGGAAGTTGTCATTAGTTTCTGAGCTTCAACTGCCTTTAAAAGCTAAATCAAGGAGTTGGGTAATTCAATTTAGAAATCGTAGGATTTAAAAGTTGACAATTCACGTGTTTTTATCCAATTATATCTCAGTCAGTGCCAACCCTATAAATATTTTTTCTGTTTACACTACCTGATGCGTTTAAATGGTGCTTGTGAGGCCGGGTGGAGAAACAAACATTAATGCCTTTAAAAGGGAATTGAAAAGACAAATTTATTTCTCAGCTTATGCATGTGAGTGACAAAAGAAGCTAAACATTAAAACTTTTAACAGAAGTAGGGAGCATTCGATTCATGTCTTTCAGTTTGCATTGTGAACGCCGAGTGAGGAAAAACAGGGTAACCTATAAAACAACTTTCCATTTTTTTTATCAGCAACTTTCTATATAGCTATTTTTCATTTCTATATTTGTATAAGTAAAAATCTTATAGTATTGTAGCAGAACAATGCCTTAAGTTGTAAGTCATAAGATATGCGGTACCTTTGAACCAAAGGTCAGGAAGTTTGTAAGATGCATAATTGGCCTGAACTGGGCACTCAGGTGGAAACGTCGAGAGGTTTTCCTGGTTTATGAAATAAAACGGATCTACTATTAAAACACATACGTTTAATTCTGTACAGATAAGATAAGTAGTTTTTCTTAAAAACTTCACATGCAATCACAAGTTTTGATAAGCATATATAGGCTACCACAACGTTGTTATTCAAGATTATCCTATCATAATTTCCTTCTGTAAAACAGTAATCGCGCGATTCTTCGAGCACGGAAGATCATATCCAAATCCTCACATAGAGAAACCGCATCTGCATGCTTTACCAGGCCGAGGGACGTTTTTGAAACCGACGGAGAATATTTTTCTATCCGGACCTCGCAGCCGGTAAATAACATAATTTTATAATTACATAACCCCTTTAACTATATACTGTTCCTTGTACAATGAAATTACAATAACATAAATAATGACTCTCCCGATAAAAGCCTGTTTACACTACACTCGATTTATTGGCACGGCACGGTTTAAATGGGTACCTGTTCCCATTTCAACTGTGCTCGGCCTTCTTTTTAGTAGCCTGAACACTAATAAAGTTGAGCACGGGTGTCAATTTTAGCCGTGCCGTGCTATAAATTGAGTGTAGTGTAAACGGGGCTAAAGTCCATTAGGTCGAATATAGGCTTTTTTGCATTTTCAAATTTGCTATGTATGATAACTTGCTTCCATGGTGACCATTTCTGGGTTCTTCTAAATCATTTATCTTGTAAATTGTTTTTCCAAACTACTCCTGTATAAACTCCACACACTTGAACTTTCATCCTGTTAATTATTATAACATTCATAACATGCCTTTTTTGGATGTTTATTCTAAGTACACACAGTAATTTGTTTTAGCAGTGTTTTCATTAAATTTGCTCTTTGAAATTAAATTTGTAGACACATCAAATCATCAGTCAAATTTTGGCAGCTGCCAGAAAAATTCTGCGAGAACGAATTAACGAGCGATATTTTCTCGACCAGAAAAACTAACTGTTCGTGTGTACATGCAGCTTACGAGAAACATAGATGTCTATGATATGCCATAAACAAACAAGTATAAACACGCAGGATTAGTATGTTAAGAAGAAATCTTGTCAAGATGGAGTAGAATACTCGTCTGTTCCTGTGAGGTCAATCTTGTCTATTGATATATACAAATATAAAAAGCTATATTTTGTTTGTCTTTGCCAAGGTATGTATATATTGAAGATCCATGCATGCACTTCCTTCGAGAATCAACAAGATTACTCCGAACTAGTAGATGATCCCCAACAAATAATACGTGCGAAAGTGAAAAGTAAAAGTAAATTGTATTCTGGTTTTATCAAAAGGTATACAGTCAAGTTTTACTATCCAACCGATATCCTTTTTATATCTATAGTGTTTTAAGATGCACCAAATCTGCTGACGCGGACGTGAGGTAAAAAGCCGTTATTTCTACATGTTCACATGCATCGGGGATACAAATTATAAACTTTGTATAACCATGTCATATCTGTATGTCACAGTAAACCAGATGTCTTGTTAATAAATTGCTCTGAGCAAATTGCAACCGAAACTTGTAAGTTCCCTCGTATTTAGCTTATATCATCTGATTTATTTTAATATGCACGCAATTTTACATGCATTTAAGATGTAGCGGTAGTAAATTTACAGTAACCGGCCGCAAAGTATTGAATTATATAAATGTATTTATTTACACTTGCGAGGAAACTTGCAAGTTCCGGTTTCAATTTACTGAAGGCAATTTAACAGTATTGTCAGCAATGTTGCAACATTGCGGGGAACAGAACACCCGGTTTGACAAATTAAAACTCGGTTCCTATTATATTAGCGGCTGTTTGCATGTCACCACAGTTATTAGAATATACATGGTTTGGAGACTATAGATGGAAGTACAATACAACTCATTATCTATGTTATTGTTCAGGTCACATGTCTATTGTATTTTTGCCCAACTAACCAATAGCAATGGCTTGGCTTAGCTCCTCAACCGTGACTTGAACAACATGTTAATTCAGACCTTACTATTGGTTTATTTGTTCAAAATACAATAGACACATGACGAATAAGGAATAATTTTTTGCATAAATGTTCCCCGACATAGTTAATGAGTTCTATTGTACTTTTATGTAGCCTCTAAACCATGTATATTCTATTTACTGTGATGTCACGACCGCGTCGTTGTATTTTTCAAACTCGCTAAAGCTAAAATGAACGGGTGATAGTTTTATTCAACCGGCCCAATTAAAAAGTGCACCATGTTTACAAATTTACAGATATTCACGAGAATTTTCTACATTGCTTTCTTCAATGATTATGCATGTATATATATTATACACTTAATGTATGCTCCCGAGGGAAATAGTGAGTTTTGTTTTCCCAAGAGTCTGAATGTTTTGAGACTCGAGGGAAAACAAAACTCACTATTTCCCGAGGTAGTTCACAAGTGTTTTGTTATATAGGAACGAAAACATACAAATGATACATGTTACGCAGTAATTTCGTTTAAAAAAGAAACCCACTCCCTTTACTTTGTTATGACAAGAAGCGGGCAACAATTTTTACTTGTTTTCCTGGCGGGAAACATTGCATTTATTTAAAGTCATGTGACTATACGAATGAACTAATCACATTCAAAATACTATACAACAATATAAATCATATGCTATATTCATGCAGATATAATCAGATTAAATACTTGTACCTGCCAATTTATTCCTCGCCATATATCATTTCATTCGCATTTTGATCATTATGTAGAATATAACATTACTAGTGGAAAGCTCACAAAGTTCCGACAGGTGAAAAAGAAACATTAGGAGCGAGTTTACAACGCCAACGGCGAAAAATGATCTTTTGGCTCACTTTCATCGCTTTATGTCTTGGAAAACACTTTGGTGAGTAGATTATATAGTATCTTTTGCTTTTTTTTACATAGTAGTTGTGCATAGTTTAATCAGTCATAAAAAAATTACAAACCGAAGAGACTGAGCAAAACGTAACACGCACACAAACTTTGAATAAACAAAACATCTTGTGATTTGTGAATACAATTTATGAATACATTTCTTGTATATTTCAAGTGCAAATATAGCTACATGCCTTACATGCTATACATGCCTTAAATATAGGTACATGCGCGCTACTACAGTTTTCGCGAAACGCGCATTAAATACCGGTTAAACCTGTTTGCTCCGAAAAATATTGAGAAATTCGTTTGCTTATATTTTTCTGTTGATTTATGGAATTTGTCAATTAGTTTGGGAAACTCTTTGAAAGATTCCTTACTTCCTGATCACTGACCAATCACGATGATCCAAGCACTTCATTGGTCAATGCAATGCCCACTAAGAAATGATCAATAGTTAGATCAGGGAGGTTTTGGAAATATCATGAATTGTGTAAGCCGACTGATCATGATAAATTTGATTTGAATCGCTCGATAATTTCGGAGCGCTTTAATTGCATCGAGTGTAAATCTTGGTTTTCACTCACGACAAAAGCATAAGTGTAAGAAGAGGCAAAGGCAAAACATGCGTCACAAGCATCAACATGCATAAGCACAAACATAAAGTGAACCCTGATTCCCATTTACTCGTGAAGTGTCGTGATTTGACAACAATGACAGATTTGAATAAGGTATAAAGACAAATTTACATCCGGGCTATTTTTCATCCGTGAAAATGACTTGTTTACGACAAGTAAGACTAAAAGGAAACCAGGCTTAAGGCCGAGGCTCGGCGATGAAGGAAAAAATATAAGAATAAAAAAAAGATAAGAATTCTGTCCATCCGAAAGTGCTCATATTCATAGGTTGTGTATGCACATACATTTTACAGGGAACGCTAAAGGGAACGCTATGAATGATATAACTGTCAACATATCAATTGACAACCGTGGTCTTGTGGTGACTGACACTGGTGAAGAGCACAATGTTAGTAACGAATGGCGACAACCTGAGCATTTCATCTTGCCAGGCGACATACAATTTGTGACGATAAAAGCTCGGAATGATCCAGGAGGTCCTGGGGGAATTCTCGCCTCCTTCAGCAATAACGTCACCACGGATGCTTCATGGGAATGTGCGGATATGAAAAGTTGCCAGACCTCTTGTGGTAATGTGAGATCTGAACCAGCGTGGAAGCAAGCCGTGACTTATGGCCAAAATGACAATTCGTCCACGATATGGTATAGGGCCAACAGAGGTAAATTAGACGGGATTGAATCAAAGGCATACTGGATATGGGTACAGAACTGGACGGCGACAGATGTATGGTGCAGAAAGACGTTTGGTAAGATTTATACGACTTCATTAAAGAATGTCATGATTTCTTTACTCCGTATGTTTGATTGTTTAAAACGGTGAAAATTGGTGTATTTACTTGGTGTATTTACTTGGTTGGTCAAACCTAATCGGCCAATCACAACGTATTACTTCCAGTGGTCTATGCACCAGTAACGAGTTTTCAACCCGATGTCTGAAATCTATACATCAGCTTATCTCTTTCTAAACGTCCATGATTTCATTTTCAGAAACTCGCTTGAAAATTCCAATTCGGATGCCAATATCCCCGCACGTTAAAGGCGGGAAAGGTAGGAAGTTATTACAATCCATCGCCATCTTTACTCAGTGAAATTTCGCGTAGACGAAATGAATCTATATTTTTGGAACTTGCAAAAATGAATTTTAATAAAACGTTGTGCAAAAAAATTATAGTTGATATATTTCTAACGATAGAATCCCATGCAGATCTATGTCTTTATCTATTTTTCAAATGGCTTGCTTTATCAGTTTAACGCTGCCGGGAATTTTTTTGAGTGGGCAAAATAGACGGTCCAGAACCTTCCCACGTTCTAATTGAATTTAGAAAATTACAAATCTGAAAACCTACAAATCTGAAAGTATATCTCACTGGCGCATACATGCTCATAATAAATTTCATAATAAATTAAAATTTGATTTCAATCAATAATTTTCATTTCAAAAATAGTTGATTTCTTAATGCCTAATTTCTTTAATTTCTAACTGTTATAAACTGAAGGAAGGTATAAATTGAAAGCTAAATAACCCCTCTCCAGACTGCATAAAAACTAATTAAATAAAAAATTCAATATATCCTGCAAAAAGGTTTGTTAATTTCTATTTCTCAGTTTAATAAGACACCCTGCATGGGTATGTATTTTCCTTGTCTTTCTGCAATAAATCATAATGCAATAATGGAAAGAATACAATGGAAACACTCCCGTTATTTCCTTCCTAGCTTGCGAACCCATGTATGCAATTCGTATGGAGAATTACAAGCTCGAGGGCTCCGTTTTTTATGAATTTCACGCCAAACATGTTGGGGATTGCGGCATGAAGTGCTTTGCAAATCATCAATGTTTGTCGTTCAATTACATCTCCTCTTCAAAGATTTGTGAACTCAATGATTCAGCTGAACAGTTGGGCTCAGACAAAGTGAAACCAGCTCCTGGGGTTACGTATTTTTTACCGAAATAATTCATAAACATGCAGACACACCTAGCCTCTTAAACGAGTGTCTCTTAAAGTGGACAAAATAGTTAAGTCATACATGCACCATGCACTGTTTTATTTCTTTCTTTTAATCTAAATTAAAGCAATAAATTATCTCTATAATCTACTATTTTTTAGTTTTAGCTGTATATTTTTGTTTACCTTTCCGGCGCTTATTAGGGCTGTTTACATGATCTGGCTTAGACCAGAGTCCACGAAGCGTGAGATGACTTCGAGGTGTTGAAACATGTGTTTATGACACGAAACAAGCACATGCTATTGTTGGGATGACTAACAGGGTACCAGGATTGTGTTATATGCTCATTTCAACACGTCAAAGTCATCTCACGCTTCGTCGAATCTCGGCTAAGTGGGATCATGTAAACAGCTCTTAATAGATAATGAGATGATAATGAAGCTTAATGAGATTTATCACATAATCTATTGTTTGAATTGCATTCGCCGCGACCAAAATGCGACGTATAACCTAGGCCTTAGTTCCTGTTGAACTAGTTTATATACATGCAAATGTGTTTCCGCCATTTTGTTTTTTCTGTTCAAAATCGTCAATTGAATTGCAGTATAAATAACTGTAATTCTCTGGACCAGTCAGAAACCAATCTTATTAGTCATCCACAGCACATCGGTCGTAGAGAATCTACGATGAATTTCGACGTATTAAGACCAGGCTTTATATCAGTGCTAAACTGATGCAACTTGAGGTTGAAGCGTTCAAAATAAATGGAAGAAATCTTAAAACGAGGAAAGAATAATCAGAAGTGTGTCTATGAATATTGAGTCTTGAGATTAAAGACACATTTTTGGACTTCGATTTGCAATGTAACATACGTGAGTGCGCATTATATACGTTTAACTTTAGTTAGTAATATATATATCTTACTTAGCAGCTTAAATTCCTTGGATCAGTATGGTAATGGACTTCGTATTGTTATTTGTTTTAGAAGCTATTAAAGACCCCCATTGCAAAGTAAAACCATACACTGATTCACAACAAATATCTGATTTCAATGCAAGATACCTTTTTGGGACACCCTGTATACAGTTTAACCAATCAACTGTTCTGTCATGTTCTGTTCAATGTCCTGTTCATGCAGATAACGTGTTAATCCCCACGATCGGCACACGTTAAATACAATATCACATGTCATCGTCAACTTAACACACTATATTTACATACAATACAGTATAATCATTTGCGTGGCCAGCCAGATGATTCAGTCCCGCAGTGCAAATTTTTAAGTTGTTATCATTATTTCTCCAGAAATTGATTGTTTCTGCAGTAAATTAGCACAAAATATTGGCATAGTGGTACTACATTGTCCGACTACTTTGGCTATAGAACATAATCATTTTGCTGGTGCATGTGATTATAAATCCAGCCGATTAATAGGTCTTCCAAAGCTAAGGATCATTTCTTTTAGCTCTTTGTCCTGGGAAAAATCCACGCCACTTCCAAATACCAGGGCCTGTTAATGTAACAATATTCACAATGACTTTTAGAACCACTATCTGGGAGAGAGCAGCACTATACAAACGTATTTTAAAGAGCGGGAGACTGGTTGCGAGTTACGCGAAAACGAGGTTAGTCTCAATATCATTGTTCATTAACTTTATTTTGTAACTTCATTTGGCTTGTCGCGAGTGAGACTTTAAAATATAAAATTTAAAATATTATACATTGAACGAAAGATGTTATAGAATGCTTTAGTCATAATAACATTTCATTTGTACGCGGGAAAATTTTTGAATCTAATGGTGTTTCAAATTGGCTTTGAGGGGTTTATCATCGAGTCCTTATAATCCCCGCTTAATCTTTTTATTACTGACTCTTCTACCTGACATATATTTCTTGCAACTTCCATCATATTTTGGCGCTCCTGAATTTGCTGTCGCAAGCTAGTGAAGATAGCAAATAAATGACGTAACGGTAAATTATTCTCATATAGAATATAGTAACGAATAGGTCAGTATTTTATGCTTAGCGCCTACTTCTCCCCCCCGTCCTGCGTTTTGGGTTCATGCAGAAAACTGGGAATGAGAGACAGTAGGAAGTCTCAGTTTACATATAACTTCGATACAGCGCATGTTCTGGGTCAGTCTTTTCCTTGACTTTGAACTACGTAAAGGCTACTATGCAATTTTGATAAACGCAATAAAAGTTTTACTTCGATTCTTTTTTAGTTTCCCTCTCGGTCTTGTTAGTTTGTTTTCGAGTTTGTAAGTCCTATAAGAAACAAACAAAAAATCAAAGTCATAGAAAGGCCACACAGTTTTTATGCATGAAGACAGTAAGTTTGTTTGTACCCACAAAGTATTTTTAATACCAATAAATTGAAATGCAGAGATGGATAACAATATTCACATTTAACGCTCAAGCACCAGGAACTTCCAAATGTCCTTATTGCCTATCAAGTTTTCAATTTTCGTTGGCCTATTTAGCATTTTATAAGTTGAGTTAATCCCCACGAGCAAAAATTCGCGAACAAGTCATTCAAATTTTAACATAGTGATTAGTTTAGTTTTGGGTTTTTTCGGGACACCCTGTAGAACTGGATGTGTGAATGCGCGGAGCGGAATTTTTCATAGTCGGCACGCTTTCATGCAGAAATAATATGAGAAGAGCTGTACTATAAGCTTATATGCAACCGTTTATAAGTAATGATTACACCATCCCCCGTTACACTACAATACTTATCAAACATGGTATAACAGCGGTCTAAAAGAGGCTTCTCAGACAGAGACCCATGCCCCCTTTAGGTCGAAAATCCTTCTAACTTCCTTGGCGAAGGCTCTTATATTAGTCTTAGCCTTTTATTAGGTCGAAACGTTGAGTAGTTTTGGCACTTGACTTCTCATTCACGGAAGTTTGAATATTTCGACCTAAACTAAAGGCCATCTCGTCCGGGAAGTTGGTATGCGTTACAATTTTCTGTCTATTTGGGAAGCCGTTATACGAAGATAAGTTTTTCGGAGTCGTCCGAATACTGAAGTGGGCGATATACGCTATTCCAGATTGCTACACAGTGGGTTTTGGGTGGGTCAAATTCTGCCCCTATTGAAAGGTTTGTGGACGTGGTAGTTATTATTTTCAACCAATACTAAGGAAATAGGCATTTGCCACTGCCCATTCCCAATCAAGTACAATATGAGCGGGAACGTCCTTCTACACAAATCGACCAGTCACCAGTGTCAAGGACCGTCTGGTAACATGAATATGTGAATATGCCCCCCCCCTCTCTTAACGATCTTTCGCCGTCCATGCTGTGAACATGTTCATCGTAATGATGACCAATTGACCATGACCATCCAAAAGAGCACACAATTTGTACCGTAAGTGGATTGTGTAGACATAAGTTTTACGAGTAATTTTCCCAACTCCCATTATTGCATAGTGTGTTTTTTTTACCCAATGTCGCATGCATGAGGCGTGCTTCACGGGTACCATGCATGCATGAGGCGTTTTCCACACAGGTACCATGCATTCTCCGTGTGGAATAACGGTCCGCGCGCGTGATGTACTTTTCCCTGACGTGGCATTTTTTTAACAAGTAAATAATTAATACACTTCCTTAGTTCCAATAAGCTGAAGCAGCTTCAAGCATATATATTATTTATATGAAAAAAAAAGTTTAACACACGCACGTGCTTGGTAATTGATGAGAAAAGGAAGTGTCAGAAATTGTCACATAAAAATTAAAAGAAAATAAAGGGGGATTCCAAAACGTTTAATGTAATTGTAGATAACATCCCGCATAATTTGCTTTATCAGCCATTCGAGTAGTTTTCCCTGCTGCATAAATCTGCATGTGATTTTCCTGCATAGTTAATCAAGTAGTTTCCCCTTTGCCGGAAATGCCAAATCGAACGTTTCGAATCGCCCCACTTCCGTCATGCGATCAACGTAAAAGCAATATATAAACACATTTGCATTTCGAATGTCTTCATTTTGTACAACCGTATTCAAGCGTGCTGTAAAGGCGTGATTATTGATCGACCGAATTTACGTTCACGAGAGCTAATGGCATTCACAGTAACGAGCCCAAATGTCGTGTATACCGATGAATATATCGAAAGTTTGTTTCACTACGAGTCTTCTGAGGTGAAACAGCATGGCGGGAAAATAGAAGTGATTCCTAAAAGGACGGTTTATACTTTTAAAACCGAACGAAAAGTGCCGAAACTCGGCTGCATGCTCGTTGGCTGGGGTGGCAACAACGGCACAACACTTACGGCGTCTGTACTTGCAAATAAACTCGGCATTTCATGGAATACAAAGTCGGGTATAAAGAATCCGAATTACACCGGCTCTGTGACACAAGCTTCGACGGTAAGCTTGGGAACAGGGCCAGATGGAGAGGTTTTTGTCCCTCTCAAAGCATTGCTACCGATGGTCGAGCCAAACGATATAATATTCGACGGTTGGGATATCAACTCGATGAATATAGCGGATGCCATGCAACGAGCCGAAGTTTTGGACTTCGACTTACAGCGTCAACTTCGCCCCCATCTCGAGAAACTGACACCCCGACCTTCGATCTATTGCCCAGATTTTATAGCTGCAAATCAAGCCGATCGAGCCGACAATGTCCTCAAAGGCACTAAAGCTCAAATGGTCGAACAAATTCGGGCGGATATTCGTGATTTCAAAGCGAAAAATGACCTCGACAAGGTGATTGTACTTTGGACGGCGAACACCGAACGATTTTGTGAAATTCGAGCTGGCCTGAACGACACCAGCGAGAACCTGCTTGCTTCGATCGCCCGCAACGAGGACGAAGTGTCTCCATCGACCCTGTTCGCCGTTGCAAGCATCAAGGAGGGCTGTTCTTACATCAATGGTTCTCCACAAAATACCTTCGTACCAGGCGTGGTTGCACTTGCCGAAAAATGCCAAACATTCCTCGGGGGAGACGATTTCAAGTCTGGTCAGACCAAAATCAAGTCGGTTCTAGTTGATTTCCTGGTTAGCGCTGGCATCAAACCCGTGTCGATCGTGAGCTATAACCACTTGGGAAATAACGACGGCAAGAACCTGTCTTCGGCCAAGCAGTTTCGCTCGAAGGAGATTTCCAAGAGCAATGTGGTCGATGATATGGTGGATTCCAACCCTATTCTGTACGAGAAAGGTGAGAAACCTGACCATTGTGTTGTTATCAAGTACGTACCCTATGTGAAAGATAGCAAGCGTGCCATGGATGAATATACCTCTGAAATATTCATGAATGGCACAAATACCCTTGTAATCCATAATACATGCGAAGACTCCTTGTTAGCCGCACCAATCATCCTGGATTTGGTTATTCTCTGCGAGGTGTGTGAGAGGATAAAGTTCCAAGCTGGTGGTGACACCAAATTCCAGAGTTTCAACACCATACTTTCCATTCTGAGCTACCTACTTAAAGCACCTTTGGTACCCAGTGGTACACCAGTGGTAAATGCTTTGTTCCGCCAGCGTGCTTGCATTGAAAACATTTTCCGTGCTTGTGTTGGGCTTGCCCCCCAGAATAATATGTTACTGGAGCATAAGCATTCCTGTGGTACCAAGCAAACTAAGCAAGAACATGAAATAAACGGTTGGATAGAAAATGAAGTTAAGTCTGACTTGATAAATGGACTCAATTCTGATCTTATAAACTCTGATGTACGTCACATACCCCAACTGAAGTCTATTGTATAATTGTAGTTATACTATTCCCTATCAAAACTTACATATTGTATTTAATTAAGAGATGTTATGGTTGTAATGCTATTTGATTTTTAGCTATTTATTGCTGTTAAAGAGTAGCATTGTCTATTTGTTTGGTAAACTTTGAACAATGCAAAGGACATTAGATGGCATTGATTTACAGGTACACTTGCACGCTAACAACAAATATGAAGTTTATTTTAGGTCTTTATTCATAATTCTTGCAAAACCGTTGTACTGTTTGTTAATATAAAAGTTTGATCATTTACATTCTACCTTTTTTATTCATTGGGCATGGGATGCATGGGAAGTTGTGGAACTGGGGCTATTGAGGGACTATTAAGGATAAATAAATTTAAAGCAAGATAAGGTGATGAACCCTTATTTTAAATTATGAAAATCAATGAGTAAATTATGCTTATAGCTAAGAAAAAATCGATTTTAACATTGTTTGAATTCTTTAAATGGTAATTTTTTCCGCACACAAATGTGTAACTATGACATCTTAAACCTAGGGTTCTACATTTTTTCACTCCCAGAAAAGTCACAAAACATTGCTACAATCATGAAGCCATTAACTCTTAAAGTATAGTCAGACGATAGTTTATTGGTATGACCTAAAAAGCTCAAATTTAAGCCCTTAAGAAACGGTTAATTAATAACTGGCAATGCGCCCACTCAGCACTAGATGTATTGTCGCTATTAAAGCGCCTTAGTTTTATCAGTAAAGGTGCTTGAGAAATAGGCAATTTACTGTATAATGACAGCAATGAAAATATTTTGTCATGCTCTTAAAATCGTTTCGATTCTTTATAATGCTCGTACAGAGCTGAAAGCTTTGTCATTGTGAACCAGAATTTTGTAAACAGATTTACGTCGCGACTACTACATAGTCATACTAGATTTGAACTTTGCACTAGAAACGCTGTTGTGCAATGTATAATTATACAGTATATATTTCAAGGCATTTAAGGAATCTACGATCGATTCTTTTCTTTGTATTTCTACAAGGGCACCGTCCTGGGAGCTTTGGTATGTATCGCAGCTAGGCACCGCGCAGAGCCCAGCTTAGCTATTCCGACTAGCGGCTGCTAGCCCATCAACTAGCTCATCTATTTCAAAGTGGAAAATGTAAAACGAATTTTTTGAAAAAAAGAGTTGGAAAATTACTAGCAAAATGTGTTTATAAATATTAAAAATCTGCGTATAGGCTTTATAGTGTAAATATAGCCTCTTTGTCTTTGTTCGAATCTCTCGATTTCATTAAAAATAATCATGCATACATGGTCATGGTTTCACTTATTTTTGAAAGACTATTCAAAATTTCAAAAAAAATTTCGCAATCAGCAATTGCAATACACAGGCATATATTGAGACATTGTGAATAATATTATATTGGTCTATACAGCATATATCACCAGCTAGATTACGTCATTGTACAATACGAACAATGACGTTTAAAAGCGTGTGCCGGTATCACATGCTTGTGATACTGCGCTGACAGAGAGCTGATATTTGATTCTGTGTACGGTAAATAGTTCCGTCTGCCAATAAAGGTCACACTCAAGAATCGAACGATACGAAGTTCAACGAAATAAATTATGAATGAAAAACTGCTATGGCAACAACACCGATATTTTCACTTTGAATTATTTAGAATAATTCTTAAACCGTGAGACATGGCAACGTCAACCGGGTATTTCCACATAATCATTTTTAACGGAGTACATTCATAATTTTGTATAGTTAGGCAGAAGCATCATAACTTAGTAAATTGCGATCTGTATACATTTAATACATTGACAATAATATATGATACAAGTTGTAAATATAACTTTGTGAATTGATCTAGCCCCATCGTAACGGCCCCAAGTGTTCAAAATGTAGATATCCACGACCGATTTGTTTTGCATAAGTCAGTGCAAATATGTCAGTGCGCGAGACGATATATTTTGAGGTATTAAAGTATGTTTTTACACCAAAAAAGCACGTGCTTTTGTAGTGTTACCACTATACCAGGTACATATCTCTCAATATCATCTCACGCTTGGCTTATGTAATCTCGAATAAGCTGGATCGACATGATTCATGTAAACATGTATTGGCTGTTTTCACACACTAGAGACGCATAATGCGTCTGCAATATTTTTTGACTGGTATTCGTCTTCAGTATAAAGACGGACAACAGACGCGTAATACCTCGAGACGATTAAATAATATTAATGTTCAGTTTTTCGTCTTAGCATAACCAACGGTTGTTGGTCTAGACGGATAATGCGTATGTTGTCCATCTTTATACTGAAGACAAATAATCAGTCAAAAAATATTGAAGCACCTCTGGTGTCAAAACGGCCATTTAAACAATATTAATCTTTAATATCACTGTATTATAGACCCATTATAGCCTATTTACGCTTGGTAAACGGGCACGCTGAAATTATTTCACCTCACGTTATGCCCTACATATGAACTATGAGTAGAACCGTGGTAGACCTTATATGACAATTGTTTCAAAACTTGATAATTGCAAGGTATACATTAGGCCTCTTGCGTTTTGTTAAATAAGCGTGCCTTGCAAGAAAAATCCAGGGGCAGGGTTGTATAGCCCTGTATCTGCAGTGGGCTATACTATATAAGAAAACTGCTCGAGTCTGCCATAACACTGACCTGTGTCTGTATGGTCTGACTCGGTCGTTTCAAATTTAAGATTTTACGGAGTACAAGTACCATTAGTTCAACCAGTGTATAACACTAGAATAATCATATTGCTTACCTGTAATTCTGCCATCAATTTTTCACATCTTTTTGTCACCTCTAAAGAAAAAGTCCCAATGTCAGTATGCCATGCAATGAGATATCTAGTTTACCTTTTCGTGGCACACCGCATTTTAAAACTAACCAAGGCGTTGTCTTCCTATATCTCTTAAATTGCCTTCTTCCTCTTCCAGTGCCTTAAATATATGAGACAAGAACGTCAACAATAAAACAAAATGACAACAAAACAACAACAACAAAACAACAACAAAACAACAACAAAACAACAACAAAAACAACAACAAAACAACAACAACAACAACAAAACAACAACAACAACAAAACAACAACAACAACAAAAAACAACAACAACAAAAAACAAAAACAACAAAACAAAACAAACAAAAAAAAAACAAACAACAACAACAAAACAACAACAAAACAACACAACAACAACAAAAAACAACAACAAAACAATGACAAAAACAAAACAACAAACAAAACAACAACAACAACAAACACAACAACAACAAAACAACAACAACCAACAACAAAAAACAACACAACAAACAACAACAAAAAAAAACAACAACAACAAAAACAACAACAACAGCAAAACAACAACAACAGCAACAACAAAACAACAAAAACAACAACAAAAACAACAACAAAAGGTCAGTAAATCATTACTTGAGCATTACGTGATTTTTAGTGATAAATTTCGAAATGCGACTATAAACTAGCTAGCTCAATACTTGGGGTGGGGGGTAACAAACAACCCGCACCACACTTTTCCAGTTGTGACGTACAGTACCTTAGTCATGTACACATATAACACAGCTATAATTGGCCAAACTCTACTATATATAGCTTATTGTGTTTATTGTAACACACTATGCTATAATAAGTATAATTGTGCCTGGCATAGGCATCACGTAGCTATGTATGGAATATTCCGAATCAGAATTTGAACGTAGCCAAAGTGTACCTCAGTAGTAAGACACAATCGGGAATACGTACCTGCTGGTACTTTTGTATATCTTTGCATAATCTTTGCTGTTCATCACATTGGCTTGCAAACTCGCTACATTGTTGTTAAATTAATAAAAACGCCTTAAATAAGCGAAGTAAAAAGATCTTGTTTAATGGCGGTGAGGAGGTCGTGGTGGGAGGTGCCCTGGGGGGGGGGGGTTACATATTTCCTAGTACATTGTTAAATTAGGGGTTGACAAAAATATGGAGTCACTAAACTTCATGCAAACAACTTTTACAGTTTTATAAACTCATAGACAAATCAAAGTATATTTATTTTGTATATACAGACTTTATCAGCTTATTTTCTCTACTTTTCATTACTGATCAATCAATTTCAACCATATGTGAAACAAATTCTACCCTCGCTAACTTCATTTTCAACACCCACAATGTATTACGATTTACGTACTCTTCTTTTTGTTCACTGGTCTTCCCCGAATCCATATCTCCGGAAGGAAATAAAATTTTCATTTTTACGTAACCTGAGAGCAACCTAAGAAAAAGAGTTATATGAGCATAATTTTAGTGTCCGGACGGGACGAGAGCCGAGTAAAAAGAGTGATTATTAAGCGCTGTCTAGGTTCTTAGGGAGTGATTGCTGGCCTAAACTGTGAGTACTGAAAAAGATGAGGGAATATTGGTTTATGGCGAATATTGGTTTATCACAAGATGAATGGAAGTGGAAAGGTGCATCTGCCATCCATGTGACCTTGGAGCTAGTTTTGAAGCTAGTTACAAAGAAGCTAGTTACAAAGGAGCTAGTTACAAAGGAGCTAGTTTTGAAGGAGGGTTGTGTATGCTAGTCACCATGCAAACCAGGAGATAGGAGTACAAACACAAACTGCAAGAGATATCAGAATGCACACTTGCTTTAGAAGAGATATAACATTTTTCTTACTGGTATTGTAAGTGCTTATAGATATTACCTTGAAAGTCTCAAATCCCAATTTCACAATAATATGTAATTTTAGTTACAGCCTATATATATCCTACACCACTACTGTATCTCCTAGACTAGACGGATGTACACTCTTTAGCAATATGCCAAAATAAATCCATCCCTGCCTGTAAACCTCAAATGTTCAAGTTAGGGCACCATGAATATTGATTTTACCTTTCCAGAATAAGTTGTTTGGTTGAATGTGTTGAGGAGACATCCAGTAACTCTTCTTGAAGACGTGACACACTATAAGGCATGAGTACAAAAAATCACTTTATTTTCTTAAGACTAGAATAGTAAATTTATGCACCTCTTTGATCTGACATTTAGATTGATAATTAAACATCACTGAAGTTTCCTCGTTTTTTAATGGTAACTAAATACAAACAACAAACCTTTCACACAATTCCTCTATGCTTGATTCTTCCTTGCCTTCCAGCTTCTCCTGATCTAGTTTTCTCACTTAAATACCCATTATATTTTTAAATTTTGCTAAAGCAACAATATTGGCATTCATACAGAAGACATTTATACAAAGTTACATACAAATCTGTCTACTAATGGGCATATCTTGGCTATAGATGCAAACAAGTGGGGTGATCAAACTATGTATGACTTACTGCTGTTAAGCTCTGTTTCATAATTCAACCTCTGCTGTTCAAGCCATTCCTTGCATCTGGAGAATGATGAAAGCATTAGGAGTAAATTTGAATGATAGCTAGCAATAACGCTAAGCATTTAGGGTACATGTTTTGTGCACGCAGTGATAATTTGGTATGTCATGTATGAATGCTGTAGGGGTATGAACAGTACGTGCTTTAGATATTTAAATTTAGGAGCAAATCATGAAACCATTGGATATCATGTTGAACTTGAAATCTTACATTTTCATTCTAAAAATAGCATTTTCATAGCTGTATGCATGTATGCATTTCCACCCAAATTTAGTATAATTCATATGCAGGACACCCCTTTCCTGCCACAGGTCTCCTATAAGGAAGCCTATCATTCTAGGGGAAAGTTTGTTTTGTTTGAACATTTGCACATTAATACTATAGAGATATGAGTGAATTATTGTTTAAATTAAATCAAATACAGGTTCAAACCACAGACGAAATACATACATGGTACATATGTTGTACCTCATATATGGTGGCTCTTACTTGAGGGTATGGTGACTTAACTTAATTTGAACATAGATCTAAATTACTCCTAACTGCAGCTTGAGGCTAGAATATGTGGTTATATGTAGAGCTATACAGTAATATATATGTATTTTGAATTCAAGCACAGTATAAAGATAATCTAATAGCGTTTAAAAAGTGTATGTAGTGCAATCAAACATGCCCTCACCCTTTCAAAGACATCAACGATTTGCTGGTATTGTCTTTGCTATTGTTATTGGCGTCCATTTGATCCATTTTAGCACGATATCCAGTGTTTAGTTGACATCCGCAGGATCTCTTTAGTAAATACTTTTTTGGAGTTTATGTGCCAGGTTTGTTTATTTTCTATACGATTGTTTTCTATCCAAGTACCACCAGTCAAGTAGCATAATAATAAAATGCTGAACAGTTAATTAGAAATTTCGCGCCCTTTTTTTATTTTTATCAAAAATGCTTCATGTATTAAGTAATCAATATTATAATATATAACAAGGGTGTAAAACGATTCTTGTAGATGATAACGAGAAAAGCATTAGATCGAAACAAGAGCAGTTACTTTTTTTTAAATAAATTGTTATTGCCTTATTGGCTTTATTGATATCGAAATTTTTTCGCACGAACAACGAAAATTATTGATAATAAAGTGGAAACAACATCCCTCATGGCAACAGCAATCACTGCATTTTCAAGGTGTATTTTTCAAAATGTCTTAAAAAAATGCGATCTAGCTTCCTGCAGTTAGTACATATGCTTGATCATTGTTTCTAATACTAAAATGGCTAATCGCGGTAATGAAGTGCGTGGTTTGTTGGACAGAATGACTCTTGGCGTTGTGAAAACTTTAGGTATAAAATAGGTATATCTAACATGTGATTGTTGTTTATAGCCACAATATTTCTGAATTATTTTATATTTATGCTAGCATTTCGTTGCATCATTCATCAAAATGTTTGTGCCACCTAATCGACTTTTATTTTTGTCGTATTTGAATATTATTTTTTTGTCTATAGCTTTGAAACTGTTAATTTTCTAGGTTTTTCCCTATTATAATTGTTAACACACTGCCCAAATATATACTTTTAAATTCTAATCAGGGGCATAGAGATGTAAAGCGAGCCTGGGCATTATTTGGGTGTAGATCTGCTTAAATGTTCAGCATTTGAAACTTTGATGGGGCCTGATTTTATCTTCAAGAAAAAAATAACATTTTACAATATTTCTTTAACCTTTTACAATATAAATCAAGTCAATAAAACAAGTCTCTGCAGAAAGGTGCTGTTACACTATGCGATTTCCTTGCAACTTGTAATGTAATTCTACTTCTGAAGCATCTAAGGTTGTCAAAAACGAACATTTCCTTCCTATCACCTGCTAACGTCTTCTTAGCATTTTGAACTGAACACTCTTTACTAATTAACATCCCTCAAAATTATAATTGCATTGCAATTAAGTTTCAAGGAAAGTTGCATAGTGTAACAGCATCTTAATTAAAGAAGGTAAACTGAATCGAAAAAGCTAATTCACTGAGGCATTATATTTTTTCTGTTTTTGTTGTCAGAAAGCAAGCCTGGTGTGTGTGATGTTCGATTTTTTGACAAGAAACCTGCTGATAAAAGCTTTATCTATTCCTGGGAACAGGTTGGCCTTGAACAAAATCTAATACAATTTTTTTTTGGCTAGTGATATGGTTTATACTTTATGTTGCACAGTTTCGACCTAATAAACTTCTTGATGCAATATAAGTCATAAATGTTGCATGTTAAGGTCCATTGATGCAATGGAATTTCTTGTTATGTGGTTTTTACCCTAATGCATATGTTAACAGTTGTGGCAATAGAAGTGTTCTGAAAAATTTTCAAGTAGTATAAAGTAGTTTTTGAAAATATCTGACAAACTCTCACTGTAAATTTCCAGAAAAATATAGGCAAGTGAATTGCTCACAAGTTTTCAAAACACTTAAATTATGTAGACTGTCTAGAAATTAGAGTTTTCCATCAGTAAAAGAAGAAAATGTTGCATTTGGACTTTAATTTATTGGAATGACAATTACAACATAACATGGTATGGTTTGTTAAAAGTAGTTAATACTGTTCATTGCTTTGCAGAAAAATATGTGTGCATTACCAAAAGATCTAAAAGATTTTTATATGACAACAGATGGTATTTCAATCCAATGGTCCATTAAATTTGATGGTAAGGAAGGTTTCTTTGTACTTATAATGTCATTTATTCATAAAACCAGCAGACAATAGTGATGATTGATTAACCAAACCAACAATACTGTGGCTAAATTATTGTTGGATGTATGTATGGTGATGTCATACGCTAGCTTAAAAACGTATTCCAGACAACTAATTCGCCTTTAAAACTGTGGCCAACTTTTTAATGCTTTCTCTTGCAAACATTCAGGTTCAACATTGCCAACTGGTAACATGGAGATAAATTCAATATCAAATCTAACTCCTATCAACCAGTCAATTGTGGTTTCTGATGATAAGCCAACACTGTTAGATATTGATGACTTATCTGATGAGGAAGATTCACAAGGTGTGGTTAGAGTTGTATAAAGAAAACAATATAAACACACTCACTTGTGGTTTACTTTGCGCTAAAGCATTGGTAAACAAACATAGAAAGCAGATGGGCTAGAGGATGGGATAACCCCCCTGTTCACTTGAAACCATATGCCTCTGTAATGTATTCATCACGAAAAAATCAGCCTGTACATACTACACCATTCAAAAATCAAAATGCTTTACAACGTTGTGGTAATGTGTACAGTGTCTGGTAAATTAAGGTTTAGTATTTCTTTGTTTTCTATTTATATTCGTTTTCCTTATATACATTTTCACATTCTTTTAAGGTCATTTCAAGCCACATTTTGATGAGAGAAATAAATGTTTTGAGCTGGATTCCTGCCTTGGTTTTGCTAAAGTTTGTTTAGTTTATAAGGACATAGTGTCAGGTATGTACTGCATAGTTTTAATATGCTTTTCATATAAATAGAATGTTGCTAATAACATGTCAGATCAAAATTTCAGTTACACTCTAAGAGTGACTCCAGGATCCCATATCTGTTGTGGGGGTCATAGAGGCCAGTCATTGCATGTCCTACTGTATAATACATGCATGTGATGTGGTTAAGGTTACCGGTATCAAGATTTGTTTCCCAGTGCGGATGTTTAACACTAGTTTTAGAGGGTGCATGGGTAGTGGTAGTAAAAGACACAAGTGTACAGTATGTATAATAATGTACCCTTGGACAGTAAATATACTATTAATTTGAACCTGAAACTGATGTATTTATGGATGCAAAGCACTTTAATGCGCAGTAACTTTGCTGCTGTTTTAAACCACCATATTAGAAACACAAATGGCAGGCTATAGTAAGTCAAATATGGCAGTTTCACTTATAGTCCAATTTCACAAGACACTTGTAAATTTGATGGAGAGATTGAGAATGTATTCTAAGCCTGCCTGTCTGAAACATTGCTTTATTATTGCTCAAAAAGTTTCGTTTTGGAATCTCAGTAGTTTTACAATTGATGTATTTTCTCTCGATTTTTTCAGCCGGTTTTACCAATTCCAGTCCCGAAGTCTGGTTGCTCGACCGTTCATTGCGATGGACATATCTCTCATCGTCGTTTCAAAGTTATTTCCGGATGTTGATTGTTCATCTTGGGTTACCTCTGTGGCAATACCGTTTCACGCCAACAGGGCTTAGTCCGGAGACTTTGGTAAGCGGCAACTTTAGTCTTTACACACGTTTACTCGGTATCGTAACATGCGTACAGTGTATACATTAGTCCGAGGCCGGTTGTACGTAGTCTGGATGGCGAATCCAAATTTATCAATTTGAAGTGTTTATCCAGGTTAGCAAACAACGGGCAATTTTGAGCGATTGAAAAAATCACTATCCGATGAATAGCGCTAACCGGCTTTCATACAACTGGCCCCAGTTCCGTGTAGCCCAGTGCAGTTGACCATTACAGCATTATTCTGTAATTTTTACACTTATGGTCTGCAGTAACTGTATTAGCCATTTCCCAATCGAAAAGGGTACTGGGTCTAGTCGCGAACCGCAAAGCATCTATGGACTCTTTGGGGGGGACAGGAAATATAAGTCTGAAATCATTTGTCCCTCCAAACAGTCCATGGATGCTTTGCGGTGCGCGACTAGACCCAGTACCCTGCTCGATTGGGAAATTGCTAATTGCCTCCGGTATTCAGCCTTGGCACAGTTAGGGGATATACTGTAGGACCTATTTTGTGCATTCCATCCACCGGAATAGTACCCGGACAAGCTAGTTCAGCTCGACGAGCTCGTTTATTTTTAAAAAATTGTCAAACATACATAGCATTGGCTAGCTATAGATTAATGCGTATGTGATATCACAGAATTCTATGCGTGGAAACACGAAATTATCGTATAATAACCCGACGTCGTTCAACTAATCAGTAGCTAAATTTTCTATAATCACCTTCGTGATTCTAAAAGTATTCAAAATTCCGATATAGCAATGGTTCAACTTGTATGCACCAAACAGAGTTGAGGACTGTGGTGAAGAACAAACCAGCGAATCCGGAGAAGCAAGTTCAAAATCTAAACAAGAAGATCAGCTCGTGAATCACCTCGATACAAACAGAGTGTTCAAGGGGAAATCTGACGCCATGAAACCGCAAACAAAACAAGGAAGAAAGAAGCCTGGAAGCAACGTAAGGACAAATACATCCACGAGATTTCTAGGAACTTCTGGCCCAAGGACACATCGATGATGGATCAGGTAACGTGAATTTGAGTTGTTATTTGCAGGGATTAATATACTCGGAGGTTGGTGGGCGATGGTGCTATACGTATAAAATGCTTCAAATCTAAACTTTTAGATTTGATATCATATTTGTTTAGACGAAATTAACCAGTCACCTATAAGCAGTGTTATCATATATGTTTTTCCGGTAATCTTAATCGGATTTCGGTGAATTCGAATCAACAGTAGCTTGATTTGATGTCGTGTCATTTGTATGAAACGGGAACAGAAATAGAATAAGGTGCGAGCGACGCGCTTCTTCAGCCAGCTAGGCAATCCTGCGGAAAATAATTTTGAATCAGGTTTCAGTGTAATGTGGTATCGACCGTAGCTTTAAAAATCTGTGTGACACAATTACATTTAAAGATTTGTGTGATACCGAATTAGAGCAAAATGCTTTTTCAGCCACATCAAGCAATCACGTATGTTTCTCCAGAAATGCTCTTAGTCTGGTTTCGATTAACGATATCGGCCAGTGCAAGCGTTTTTAACCTAAATACGAACGTAATGTCGCGATGACGCAGCGCAATTATCTTTTTTTGATTAATAGGCGGAGATTTGGCAGACGCCAGATCGAATTCTAATTTACCTATTATCAATGTCCAACATATAATGTTTAAACATGCCTTGCTACAGCAATGATGTAAATCGTTTCTCAAATTGTGCATGGTAGCTATTACCTGTTTGTATGAATATGCAGTATGGCTTCTTTATAATCTATTTTATCTTGCAATACGATCGCTTGTGAATAGATGAAAATTAGCTCGAATATTCACACTCCCTTTTATACAGCGCATTTTCCTCGCATGAAATTCGATCCAACAATAGATAATGAGGTAATAATGAGGCTTATTCATTAGTTTATCATCCCTCATTATCGATAATTTGAATAAACCTTTCTTATAATGACGTCAAACGCGGAAAGTCCGATGTTACACGAAATTTGATTGGCTCCACAAAACTATCGAGCCAATCAAACTTATTAAAAAAGTCTATTGCATCCGACGCGAACGAAAGACCTTACTGTAAAGTTTTCCATGTATCAAACGGCTTTCTCAAATATTATATGTCGAACATTAATTTATGTTTCCACTCAGGAATTAATATACAACTTTGCGTGACTAAAGGTTTCGAAATAGTAACAGTGCCAATATCGGTGCGGAAAAAGGGGCCGGCTAACCGCATGCGAGCGTCTTTCGTGTAATGATAATTTTTTCCCAAAATATATGTGGGGTTCTCCTCAGATGAATGTTGAATGGCCTAAACTGAGCCGATAGAGTTTTGTTGCGGCAGGCTGGTTCTTAAGTTCTTCCGTGACATGTAGTTTTTTTAGTACTGCTCACAATTTTTGCACTTAGTGTAAATTGTAAATTGAACCCAACAGTTTAAACATTTAAACTTGCACATTTTTATTTTATTACTGTTAATTTTCATCAACGGTTCGGATTCTCGTAATACTTGATGTTTATTTACTTGTAGCCACCTTGATCACCAAACAACTTCTTAATCATTTCATTGTGTGGATTGACATCACCCAGGAAATGTGGTACTTCCGTTTCCATCACATTCACGAGTACTTTGGCCGCTAGTGCCAGGGCGTTTTGGTCGGGATGGAAGCCATCGACTGGTTCGATAAGCTGCCAGGTTTCGTGATCTTTTCCCATTGACTTCCACATCCTGATAGCTTCCTCGAAGAAGTTTGGAATGAACGCCAAGTCGAAATTTTCATATTTTTCCGTCTTCGCGATATCCTGTAAAACTGCGCTCAGTTCTCTTGCGCGCTTGGACGTTGCATTTCGTATGGTCTCGTTGCTGTTGAGCCAACCTGCGCACGGGGAGATTTGCAGGCAGTTGAGGAAATCGTACAATCTAGCGTACGTGACGTCGTTTCGTAATTTTCCAATCGGGTGTGTACGGTTATGCATCGTGTCGTATAATACTCGTCCGTCCGCCAAACCTATCATGGCAACATGGCTGCCGTTAGGGAGGATCTTATCTAAACTTGACATGGTTTTCAACGCGTTTGCTCTCATCTGTTCAACCGTTGTCATACCTCCGCCCGTCGGGTCGCTGTGACAAACATCGTTGCCGACCAGCGAGTAGAAAACTAACGCTGGTCTGTCCGCTTTCTGGTCACGTGCCATAGCCCCGACGAGTTCGTCATTCATCGTAAACGAGTCTGCGCCGTTCTTCCCAATATTTTGATAATCTCTGTGGTTGCAAAGATTGCGTTCCACGATGTGTTTATAAACCGAATCTATTGGCCCGGAGATGATGTGCGGCCAATCGGATTGCTTGTAATAACCTGTGAAAGCTGAACATATTGGCCAATCAAATTCGTTTGTGAGAACAAACCACAAATCCCTAAAAATGTGTTGCGTGATTTCCGTCGCTGTCAGCCATTCAGGGGGAATGCGAAAGTGGGCGGTCACGGAATCCCCCAGCGCGATCGTCCCCTGGGGGGAACTTTTCGAACACAATATATCCTCCCATGTACGTAATTGCAGCAGATTGATCCCGTGTATCCCGTTGCAATTCGAATCGAAAAGCACATCGTCGTAAATCGGTTTTTTTCCCGGATAATGCGTGCCCAAAAAATCGTTACAATCCTTGCCGCGCCAGACAGAACCCCGCAACGTGAGATACGAACTGAAGCCGTCTCCGTCGAAGTCGAATTCCGGTTTTTCTTGTTGATATACGTGCTCAACTATTTTACAAATCCTGTCGATCACGGGCAACGTACAAATGTCAAAACCGAGCCCGAAGTCTTCGCCGATTCCTTCTGCTTCTACCGAGTTTGAAGGCAGTTTCTCATTCGCGAATCTTTTGGCACTTTTGAGACTTGGAGTAGACGGATGTTTTGGGAAATGCGGATATGCCTTGCACTCTGGTTGACCTTTCTCTGTGTAACATATATTGATTTTATGACAAATAACATCGGGAGAGGAAAATTGATACGGTAGAACTAGAACCCGGTGCATAAACACTTTACCGAGTATGAAACAGCCGTCGGTTAATGGTTGTGGTAAATACGAGCAAAGTCGCTTAAACGACTCTTCGAAACTTATGTTGTGGTACTCTGATAGTTGTTGGTTTAAACTGACGATTGCCGTACAGCCTAGACAATAGACACCGCCGTTTACACCTTTCGGTATCGCCTCTGAGCGAGAGACCATGAACGATGCCACGAAAATGTAAAGTAGATATCTTGCTTGAAATATGAACGCCATTTTGAGCGCTGATTTGTGATATATACTTGACCTAAACTGTATACACTTGCACAGACTTGTATATGCGATACTATTGCGTGGCCATAAGTACATCACGCGAGGGATATTTACTGAGTGAAGTGGCTAATATTTTACCTACGTCATGTAGGGATTAAGCGTCACATTTCCATGTGCGAATGCGGATTAAGTTTCATGTTGCTCGTATACCGTAATTACTCGAATAAACGCCTCCCTCGAATAGACGCCGCCCTTGAATTAACGCCGCATGGACAAGCAAAAATATCATTAAACGCCGCCCTCAAATAAACGCCGCAACCTTTTTGTCATTGCGGCGTTTATTCGAAGCATTTATTTATAACCACAGTTCAATTTTCCTATATAATTATATAAATAGAAAAGACACATAACTTTTATACTTAGTTTTTTTGGGGATTGATTGTATTGGTTAAATTGGCGTTTAAATTACACACTGAAATTCAGAGTTGTTACGAGTTTGCAATAAACGCCTCCCTTGAATAAACGCCGCCCTCGAATAAACGCCGCATCTTAATTGCTAAAAATTTTATAAACGCCGCGGCGTTTATTCGAATAATTACGGTAATTTCGATTTCAAGATAATCAAACTGAAATTCTTTTTTATGAACGCTTGTAGTAAGTCAATTTTAATTTCTCTCAATGTTAATATTTGTATTGTATGAGTAATATTTACATATCCCAAGTGAAATATGGATTTAGTGAAATGCAGTGTTTCCATGCAAATTTTTTCATTGATGATTTATTAAACTTCAGTACAAATGCATTAGAGCCATGGTGTAAATCAAATGTCTACAACTTAATATATTAAATATGTTAAACTGCCATCGTTAAGCGCCTGCCTGGGTGTAAATTTGTCTTTTTCTCTGCATTTGAAGTGACCATTGTTTAATATATTGTGCAATATATTAGATTATTTCACCGGGTGTCCCAAAAAAACTTCACATGTTTGATTTTGTAAAGTTGTATCTTTAATATTAAATCATGTACCCAAAATCTTCTGGATTATCTTACGTTACTCACACATACGCGTCCGTGTTGTTCTTTCTTTTCCCGCCTTATTCTAATTACTCCAGTTATTTATTAACTCAACATTACAGATTTCATATATGAAATGATAAAGTAAAAGCGATAAAAGCTGTCAAACCAGAAGAAACCCCATTTAATGTAGAAATGGCTAACTTAATTTTGATATTACATTTATAGTTGATTTCAGAAAACGTTTGACGCTCCAATTGCAAACTATGTTTGGAAGCTGTCAAGTGGGCGGGGAAGTTCTCACTTCCGTTTTGTAATTCGCAACGAAGTTCCGAAGTTCAAAGAGAACTTTGCGGGCAATTGGAATAAATCGCTATAAAATGGCCACTATAAAATACCAGGGCAAAGCCTTACAATAATATTTCTTTGCTGCATTGAAATTGCTATTTCCTATTTGTGGCCATTTTATAGCCATTTAGTCAAATTTCCCGCAAAGTTCGACTTGAAATTCCGAAGTTCGATTTGAACTCGCGACTTCGTTGCGAACTACAAAACGGAATTAGAACCCTCGCCCGGCGCTCAGTGCCAATAGACTGTTCAATTCTCGTGTATTTTCTTATAGATTTAAATGGCATGCATGTGTAACTTTTATGCTCGTTTTTCTTGAGGTCGATTGTATTGGTTAAATTTGGCAATTACAAAATAAATTCACAGTTGTTGGTACAAAGTTGGCAATATACGCCGCCCTTGAGGAAACGCTGCATTTTAATTAATTACTTATAAATCTTCTGGGCAATATCAAAATAAGCTGTTTTAGCATTAGAAAAATTCTATGTGTGTGCAGTCAACAATGACCGATTTGAATACAAAAATAAAGGCAAATTTTGTCAGATCCAATTCACTTCTGATGGATGTTTTATAGCCTGTTGATTTGCAATGTATATAAGTAGCAATGCCACTAAAACCAATGCTGTACTTCTTTATCAATAACAAATTACATTCCATACCTCAAAAGTCAATTGGATCAGAAAATTCACATATTTAGTTCACATGTTCACGTATTTGTAGTTCACATATTTACTAAAAGTCGTCAAGATTTTAGCTAAAATGCTATTTAGATTATTGGTCTTGTCCACGTGTTTTTGTACCTTTCGTCCCCGGCAGTTTTCCGGACACGTCGTGGTAATATACATGTATCCAATGACCAAGTATCTGTCTGTCGCGTTTCTTTACGTCGCTGGTACATAACTATATTCGCCACCTTCAGGACGGGCGTTCTTGTTGGTCAGCGAGAACAACGCAGTTTTTATTCTATTTAATCGTTTCACTCATAACAACTAAAAGTGTAAAAAAAAACATTACTTTGGCGAATTGGTTTTCGGGGTTATTTTAGGGAATTGGACTGAGTTTAGTCGTTGAAATTATTATAATGCAAAAGGATGTTAGGTGTATAACATCACTATAATTATGCAGTGATGTATATTTATTCGCATGTAGGGTAGTTAAAATTCTTTGAGCCTAAGTAGCCTAATACCTATCTGCTAGCTTTTAGAAATAATTAGTCCTTACATTGTTTGAAACATTCTTCGGAGAGATGTATATCGAAACTTTGTTTTATATTGTTCTTATTCCTGCCACTGGTAATGGTCACCTTTTAATTGGGAGGGAAGTTTCTTAGGTTTCTTATTAAATTATCATGTAATGCCCAATCTTATTATTACGAATTGGTAGTTAAAGTCTGACATGTCTATTTTGAGTATAATATTTAATGCAACGGTCACTTGAATATACGACTACCCAGGAGTATTTATTTTATTCAACACAGAAGGGGGGGGGTTGTGTCGTAAACTGCAGGCTGAAAAATTTTTGTTGAGTATATACGACTCAAATTGCATTGAAAGCCGTTAAGATCATATGATTCCTATTTTGTCACCTGTTTTATATGGTTCATGTGTTCAGTACTACTCCTGCAAGCTAATATCAGATATGACAAAAAACAGTGATGCTGCAGTGAAAAATATGTCAGCACTTATATGTGGACACACGTACGCCATACGAACCTATCTTTTTCAAATTCTTTATAACTTCAGCCAAAGTTGATCACACGCGGCCGCTGCCCCGCACTCCATTGCTACGTTTTCTTTAATACAGCTAATCATAATGCGTAACTCGTGTACGCATGATTTGTGTAATAGAGAACCACAGCAACTTGTTACCACGAAGTGTTCCCCCGCCCTCTTTGGTTTGAGGCAGAGGAAACAGAACATGGTTTCATCGTATGTTGCTCTGCAGATCGGACACGTGATGTTTCTGCTGTCAGTGGATGTCCTGAGCCATTCTCGGAAACACGCACAGTGATGAAAATGATTACAACACGGCATTTTTATCGCCCTTTGCTGTTTCTTCGTGTTCTTTTCCAGACAGATAGAGCAATGGTTTCCTTCTACATTATCTAACCATGACAAAATGCCAAATAATGGCAAAATCTTTGAAGATTTTGTATTCTCCTCAGATGCTAAAACACCAATGGTTTCCATCTTTAAATTCTATAGAAAGCAAAGAAATGATATCGTTATTTTTACCCGAAAAACGTACCTGAATCTTTTTGCTCAAATAGCATAACTCAAATTGATCACATGCATACAGGGTGTGTCAAAAAAACGCAACCACTTAAATATGCAAGAATATTAATATTTTTCGGGTTTGAACCATATAGTTCGGCTAAAATAACTTTTAGCATTTTAAATGAAGGATTAAGAGCCATTTTCAATTCCCAGATGTGCTTATCTATTGCGCTTTAGAGCTGTATTAATGTTCTTGCATATTTAAGTGTTGCACTTTTTTTGAGACACCCTGTATAACGTAAGAAATCTCATGCTTCATATGTCAAAAACGAACCATGTTTTGATGCTTACTCGAGAAATGATATATGAGTTGTAGTTTAGATCTGAGTTTTAAAAATATAGTGTCATTTTAAGCATTGAGGAAAATACCTAAAAATATTTGGAATATTCGAACGATGTGATGCATATGTGTATTTAAAGCGAGGTTAATTATGGGAAGTATTTCACCAGAAGGAAAGATAATTCCCGATAAATTGAGAAATAAAATTAGTTTATAGTTAATTACAGTTAAATTAAGCAACTATACTTATAGGTAAGTTCATTAATACCTAATGAGGTGTCCAAGCTTTAACTTGGAAGTAATTATTGTTCAGTTACTCAAGTGAGGCATTAACTTCTTGTCTTAGGCAAATACATGTGAAGTATCACTAAGAAAATGTTTTAGGAAACATGTAAGCAAATACCTATATATAGGAAAATTAATCAGCAGTTCCATTCCAAAGAAATTTAAGTTACTTTAAGCAAGTAAGTAAGCATTAGATAAGTACCCTAAAAATGAGTTGAATGGGCATTTATAAATTGGCAACTATATATAAATGATTAACCAAAACACGTATATGGTACAGTATGCTTGTGCAAAGAAGGTGGTTATTACTCAGTTACTAAAGTAAGTAATTCCTTGTTCTGTTAAAGCAATTGCAAAACGAATATAGTAACTTAATAACCTATGATTTCAGCACACAACTCAGTTTTAATAATTAAGCAAGAGTACAAATTGGCCATTGCATGGGCAGGCAAGTGAGTGACTAATGCTCATATTGTATGCATGCTTGTGCCCAAAAAATATAGGCATTGCTTTAGCAAGTGAATAATCAGTACTAAAGCAAGTATAACCATGCAATTACTCAAGCAAGCATGCAGGCAACATATCACCAAACAAAGTAAACAATTATATAATTACTTAAACTAGATTATGTATGGAGTACGTATTTCTACTATACATAACTTTGTGCAAATAGTTTTACTTTGTATATATGCCTCGCTGTAGCGAGATATGTTAGTGTAAGCCCTCGTCGATGTACTTGGTCTCGCTATAACATATTTGTTTAACAAAGTTGCTATATGTACAGGCGAGTGGTTTTGGAATAGTACGTTTTCTTATAGCTTCTTTACAGCTTGAAATTTCTACACTATAGCTATCAAACGTTTTTTAACTAACAGCTTTTGTTTGATATATTGCCCAACGTGCTGTGGGGTGAAGTACTTCAGCTAAAAATTCCACAAAACCTAAAGACATTGCTTTAATTTCTCTCTTCTTTTCTATACAAAGTTTTGATCGCCTGCATTCGAAATGCTCGTGTGAAATGTGAAAAAACCTTTCTTAATCAATCGAAAGTTTCAGGTAAATCATTGAAAAGGAAGCTCTTATTCGAGTGGAAATAACGCCATAGGATGTTACAACGCCATTGATATTTTAGAGTCAGTGTGCTTTTACAATACAGACGGTAATTTCGAAAATATATCGCTAGACATTGTCTTTCTATTACACTACTGTGCTTTAAGTAACGTAATAACAATACTAAAATCTAAAACATGCTTTAAATACGTATAAAATATCCTTACGTGACAAGTTAAAATTCAAATCCAAATCTTCGAAGAAATATACTAGCTATAGGTGACATGCGCCGTATGCGCCCACGTGCATGTATTATGATTTCCGTCGTTTAAGCTTTCCCGCCATCAGGTATTTCATGTTTTTTGAGATGCATTTCGTTTGGCATTCGGCATTTCCTTGACATGCATTTCGTTGATGTTTCAGACGCTCTCTCTGCAAGTCAACCAATACAAGTCTACCAAAGAGAAAAAACATTTCATCACATCGTTAAAAAAACACTTTATGTCATCATTAATTTGAATATACTTTCAAAGCTATCATAATGTATTTTAATAAAAATTAAGGTAGCTTTTAGATTCATCCTAGCATTCGATTCCATTTATATTTCCTAACATTCGATTCCATTTCGTACCAGTATAGCTTCAGCATTATACAGACACCAAAAGTTTGCTTGAACATAAAAAGGAAAACGTGGATGCGCCATGTTGCAGCGGTAATTCAATTATTGTCGATATAATGGACTGGATAAATTATATACTTTATCCATACATAATTCTATAGCTGTTGTGCATATAAATATCCAAGTTATATAATTTAAATATTTATAGAAATTTTGAGACAAAACTACCTGCCTATAACCAGTTTTCGAAATCCAAACATATGCTATATAGTTTATTTATTGTACGAAACGTGTCATACAGAATATATCAGAAATCTTGTATGAAAGTATGCCTTAACTTGTAGTTTAAGTTCTGCTTGTAAACTTACATTCGGCGCCTAGCTATGCACGCATAACATAACATAGCTTTTTTTAATGTTATTACTGCCGTTATATTATAACTTTACTAAAAAAAGATCGAGTCGCCTTGTAGTCGTCTTGTTCCAGGCCTTGCTGCATGACATACTCGAAAATTATTACATTGGCGAGGTTTCTGTGAGCATCTTAGAATTTTCCAGAATATATTGCTTGAAGTATCAGAATGCCGAATTCTACATAATAACTGCTTAGTTACCGTAAAGATTCCAACAACGTATAGATCGTAGTCAAAATATTGGATTTTACCCTGCAATATTTCGACTTTGATTGATAGCAAGTTGATTGAACGCAGCCTATGTTTTGATTACGTGAAATGTTTATTCTTTTGGTGTCAAAATCGCCGGTCTTTCATTTAAATACTGTAAATTTCGCGTTGCTTCAATTGTATGAGTAACGACGATTTACACATCTTTTCTCCACTATTATAAAGCTGAATAAAGCTCGTTCTCCCTGGTGCGGCACATGTGGATTCACGGCATTCAAATATATCAGGAACCCTTCACTTTCACATTTATCGACGTGGCCAAAGATTCATTGACACATAACGCATAATGTATTTTGATATAAACAAAACTTCTAAATAATTGCATTACATTGTATTTGACATTTAGCAATTCCCAATATCTTTCATATGGTAATTTTTTATGGCGTCTTTCTTTTAACTCCTTCAAGGGTAAAATGAATTCAGTCTGTGAAAACAACATTCTCAACTATGCTTTTATATTATACTGCATGACTCTGTTTTTTGTTGTACGAGCATGATCTTGCTTTTCTATTGGCTAGCAGGTTTGAAATTTAAATGAGCAGGGGCTGGTTGTGTCAAGCCCGTTTAGCTTAAACAGTGCATAAGTCAAAATTAAATAACACTCTTACATCTCTCTTGAATGAGTCAACTTGAATATTATGCATATGTTGTTGTAAACATTCTCTTTGTATTAAGGTTAAAAACATTTAGTTTCCTTCTTGAATAAACGATAGACTTGCTTTCTATTTTGAACTTAACCACCGTTTAAACTAAACAGGCTTGATATATAATTATTAATATTAAGGTTATTAATATATTTTTTTTTTGGGAACATCGAACGCGAAGAATGGTCGAAAAGAAGGGTCTTTTTTGTTGACGGTTGCTGGCGGTTGTTTTGCTGAAAATATTTTTTTGTTAAGACATTGTATAAGTGATATATCAGTTTAAATTCAATCAATTATTCCATTGTGTAGCAACATGTAGGTCGAAAATGTCTATAGACGAGCTGGAGCCAGCAATGTCAGCGAAGTATTCACTAATTTCATACAAAACAAGATGAGAAAAGCAAGCAACTGGAACATCTTTCAGATTTCAATTGGCATGTGGCGTAGGTGCGATATATGTGAGTACATATAAATTGCTAGAAATTGTCACTAGAGCGCCATTCCTTCAATTTCCTTATTTGCGCTGCGCGCGCATTTCAGCTAAGCGATGTTTCAGATAACATCACTATGCAGACTTAGGTTAACGGGTCGCTTATTATAACTGCCTTTCCTGACACTGCGTTGAGCCCACGCGTATCTGTCAAAATCCAGTGAACTCTATGTGAACAGGTGCGATAACTTGTGTGTTTCCAAATATCAGAGTGATTCTACATAAAAAATCCTTTAGTTCCCTTAGAAATTTCTAGCAACGTGTATCTCATCAAAATGTTAGATTTACCCATGCAATATATTAACCTTTCACAGTGTAAACTGGACCGAATAACCAGAAATGTTCATTCCTCTGGTGTCAAAATTTCCAATCTTCTTTAGATATTTTAAATTTTGACTCTTTAATTCTATGAGCAGCGACGGTTTACACATCTTTTCTCCATTATAAAGCTCAATAAAGCTCGCTTGCTAAGGTGCATAAAACTGGATTCATGGCATTCATGCATTATCAGGAACAGAGGAATATCACATTTAATCAACGTATCCCAAATATCAATTGACGATATGTAATGCATGATGTATTTTTACATCAACAAAACCTCTGAGTATTATTTGGCATTAGCAATACCTAGATCTATTTTTCATATATATGGCGTCTTTCTTTCACGGACTAGGGGGCTAAATATACTCAATCCCATGAAAAAAAACATTGTCACTAAAAGTAACTCTTAAAATTATAATTCAAAACTATAAACCTAATTTGTATCTCACTAATAAAACCTTTACCCTACGTGTCTTAAGAATTATATTATTTTAAGATTACTTTATGATTACTCTATCAGAGCATATATCGATATTGACACAATTCAAAATTATTTATAAAGCTATCGGATCTCTTTCACCGTCTTTAATGTTTGGAGGAGTTTTTTTACTCTCTTGGGTGGGCATACGTCCTCTTGAGGGCCGTAGCTCTTTGTCAATGGTGTCTGGCACGCCTTAAACAATTAAAGTATAGGTGGTTGTTTCGGGCCTTTTTTTCTTTGAAATAAACCTCTAGTATCAACTAGTGGTTGGATTGCTATGTGTGGTTGAGAGTATATGCTTCCTAGAAACGTGGATTGGTGAATCTTCGTGGATCTCGGGATAAGTTTATACGTTGATGAGGATTAATTATGCTGTTTGTTGGATAATGTTACAAGGTATGGCCAAAACAAAATTGAAGTATGGTCTTATGCATACTACGGTATATTCCTATCTTGTGTGTCGCTAGAAGCCGAATATGCTTTCAGGGAAATATGCCTTCAGGAAAAAGAGTGTGATGTCAACATAAAATTGTAGAAAGGATGTGTTGGTGTTACCTGTTGGAAGATTGGTACCTTCTTGAATCCCAAATATGATTAATGGTACAGGCACGGTGTACCCTCCTGAAAAAAACAATGTAAGTGTTTGTATGAAATGGAATATTAATGGTTGGCCTCCCTTTCTTTTTGTAATATCCCATCATTTTGTGGTTATAACCTAAAAGAACACCTGGTTTTGTGCAATGGTTTGAGGTGGTATAGAATGGTTGCTACCCGGTAATGTACCCCACATAATTTTATTCCCTTAACTAAGAACAAATGGTCTAGAAGCAATATATGGATGTAGAACCAAGGGGTGTGTAAAGGCGTCAGGCATTATACAAAAAAATGGCAGTACCTGATGATGAGAGATTACTTTGTGTGTCACTGGAACTAGAAGCCATAGTTCTTGTGTATCTCCCTAAAAAGGCAAGGGTATATGTGATGATATTAAATTAATAAGGACGAGAATTCCAATTTGTGTTAGTGGTTGAACTTATTATCTTTTTCTATGTTTTTGAGACCTAAAACATCTTGGTTTTTTGTTGAGCAAGTTAAGTTCCTCAGAACAAAGGAAGTAATATTTGTCCATCTGTAAGTTGTGAAGGACAGTAAATATTTTGGTTGTGTGATGGAAAAACAGTCTTGTTGGCTACATTCCCTCTTTCTAATGCTATATTATATGCTATTATTTGGGGGGGGGGGTATTGTTAGGTTATGTTGTGTAAAGGCCAAGAGTGTGAAGCCTGAGGTCATTTTAATTCTTTCAATACCTGCTAATTGTTGCTCTTTGAGCTTTAGATCTGGTTATTTCTCAGCTGCTGCTTTAGAAATTTTCATATGGCAGTATGGTTCTTACTGTTGTTTCTCTTGACTTCACACCAACTAAATAACCTTGAACATAATAAAAAATTAAGTTCAGACATTGTTAATCAAGGTAGCTTTATTTTAATTTCAGAATTTGCCTGTCTTTTTTAGAAACTACTCTTGTAGTGCACAGCCGTTATTCTTTGCAAACAACGCGACACTTTAATAGTCATGGATTTTCTTTACTAAGTCGCATGGCACGATCGGGATCTCACAAAAAAAACTTTCCGAGAAATTGGGAATTTCAGTGAATCTGGATTTCCAGAATAGGGAACATTTTGTGGAAATTCTTTCGATTCTTTCACGTATATATAATGGTTTGGCAAAAAATAGCAGTGATATATTTCTGATTTTGCATCAAATGCAGTAAAAATTGTTCTATCTAAACATACAAAGTCGCATTAAACGAAGAAATACTTACAACATTTTTCGCCGCCATGTTTGGGAAAGTAATTTCGCCCTGTTTTGTACGACACGATATACGCATGCGCCCATGATCCATTGTCGTCGCTTTCCGTATTATTTCGTATGTCTTCGTATTGTATAGCCTTTTGGATGTCGTCGACACTGAAGGTTTGTCGACCTGATAAATTGATCAGATTATTTGGAGAATTTCAAGTAGTTCATCTGAAAATGGCAAATTTTCAAAAACTTGGTAAGATCTGATAATGACAACCGAAATTCGTGTTCAACTGTTTTAGCCCTGCATGCGAGTCTTATTGCAACACCGCGTTGAACGTTAAAATTGAACAAATATTCTTCTCGATTCTTGCTTTTTATTAGCACAGAAGTGTATCAATCAGACGATCGATAATGACACTAATCAAAATTGAGTTGTACAATTGGGCTAAAAAACCATGACTTTCGTTTAAAAACCTGGTACAGTGCTTGGTAAATATCGTATATATTACTTATGTAAGCTCCGATCGGGTCTTTAAACGGCTCACATAGTCACTTCTTGTATACCTCAAATTTTTGCTTGAACTAGTTCAGTATTTTACATATACAGAATGATAACGCTAGCTCACATTGTTTAGCGATTGTTCGCTAGGGTATTCGATAATTCACTTTGATAAAAATATTGTTTTGTATATAAGCGATTTGTAGTTGTATAAGCGATTTGTACTTTCTACTGTTTTGAAAATATGCTTGCGATGTAAAACCCAGCTGGGGTGCTTTGGCATAACTACATGTTATTTTCATGATCATTCAAAGTTCTATTTATTGCTTATAATACCGAAGGAGATATATTTCACCTGTTTATAGTTATCGCCTTATGTAACCCGTGCTTACGTGAAAAATCCACTTGTTGTTCACTAAATTAAAAGTTTATTTGAAGAAATCGAAATTATGCTCACCTTCTATATCCTAACTAAAAAATTTAAGTATTGACAGACCATTGAAGCAGCATATCAGCTTTATCATCGATACTTTCCTATTAGAGGCTTTAAACGAGGAAGCATTTGATACGAGAACCATCATTATCTGACAATTTATCAACATCGTAAACTCTCTTATCCTTTAAAAATTCTTGAATCGTTGTTTTAGTCCGTTATATAACTTTCGTCTAAGGTTATCGCTGAAGCTTTTACCTGTAAAAGAAAATAACATTTATATATCAATAACGGCGAAATTACAGCTATGATGTTTAAACAATATTCTGAAAAGCATACTGGCTTGTATGTTCATTCATTTTGATGAATGCTACAGTATAAACAGCACTATACGCACAAATAGTGCCAACTGTGTTTCTGAACTGAATGTCTGTATGTTTTTGCATTTAAATATTGCTTTATATCATCCAATCATTTGTCGGTATTAATCATTATGTTCGGTATAAATAGTTGTTATATTTCATAGTTGGTTGGTCGTTAAATTCCTTCACAATGGGGGTTAACCATGTCGCACATTGTGCTTTCGATTTGTGTTGCGTCAAGCACCTCGAGACTCGATTATCTGTATCCTAACACCCCCCCCCCCTCACACACTTTTTTTGCGTTCACCACATATAGTTACCCTTCTCTCATGCAACATGCGAGATGCTGCTTTTGAAATGGTTCTTATAATATAGAATAAAAGTTTCAGTATATACTTGTACCTACATATACCATAGTATAAGTGTTACTAATTTATGTTTGGAAAACTGATCTTACTACAATCTCAACATATTCTTATAAAACAAAAATTTTTAGTACAATTATTGAAATCCTTGCTTCATATATAAGTGAATCTCGCAAATTCATAACATAAGTTCTATATTGTATAATGAACTATACATTCGTCTTTACAAGTACATATGCTGTTTGCTCTATACATGACTATTTAATTTATTCTAATTCATGACGTTTTGATGAAAAAGAATATAAATATATTTGTTACCTTCAAGATTTGCAATCCAGGCAGATTTTATTGTATAACACATGCTTTTATTCTATATATATGCACAGGAAACTATAGGCATGTGTCTAACTCATTGATGCATGTCCACCGTATCTATTTGCTACTTTGTGATCGACTTCAGTCTTGTGTCTCGATGCCCAATATTTGTAAGGATTATATATTTATAAGGAAAAACTGCACGAAAAGCATTAATGAGTTACCATTATGCATAAATATCCATTTATGCATGTAGTTTAAATAATCGTAGTTGCATGATACAAGACAATGCTATACCTGCCTACCACCTGTTTTTAAAAGCGAAACTTGATATGCTTACACTATTTCTAGTTACTTGCTATAATATAACGATTTCTCATAAAATAACGTATGCATGCCGTACAATAATGTGATCGATATTTACGTCTTTAGCTATATTACTTTCCTGCCGAATGTCAGCTGCATGCGACAACCTCTTGACAACGGCTATGTATATATCATGTATACAAGACGTTTGACCCGAAAACATATATGAATTTCATATGTAAACATGCAATGTCTTGGATTATATGAACTGAGACTGAGTCGTAGGATTTCTTCAGACATAAAAGTAAACCAGGCCTATAAAATCTATATATTTCAATTAGCTGTTCCTGTTTCATTTTGGAAGTGACGTTACTATTTAATTTTTCGAACCATAACAATATACAAATAGACTAATGTGAATGGTTTTCAGGAAAATGTTTATTACAAATACGTCTTTAACTGTTGTAGATTAAAGAGAATATTTGTAGTAAGTATTCAATTCAAGCACAATTTTCGTATATATGCCTATTTGCCTATACTGTATTTTCAATTATACCTTTAATGTTTCATTCTTTCTCAGAATTGCTAGTCTTTTCCTAAATTTTCGCCGATTCAACTGTAAGACAAGCGATAATCCGCACATATCCGCCATATCTTGAATAAAGCTCACACAATTCTTCTTCAATAAAAAAGACAAAAATGCATCATGCTTTTCCCTCTGTTCTAGCACCGATCTGCTGCGTGTACAAATGCCACGAATGATATGCGAAGTTGGCTTTTTGCGGGGGCGGCACATTGAACTGTAAACAAACTAGAATCCGGGGGGAAAATTGAAGCCAGTGCTTTTTACGTTTTCTGAGTTTTGAGCCGAAATACTTAACGCCTAATGTTGAGCCATATATGAAATTAAAGCGATTAAAAAGTTATATTTCGTGTAGAAATTTCGAGACTTGAGCTTAAAGGGAAATATCTAAAAAATATTTGAAAATTTCCCGGTTTTTTTCCGATTTGTAATTGTTTTTGTTTTTTTTAAATATTTCCTTTGTAGTTTAGTCTTGAAATTTCCACACCAAATGTAACTTTTCAATAGCTTTATTTTGACACACTGCCCAATGTCTGGCGTCAAGTATTTCGTCTCAAAACTCAGAAAAACTATTTTGACTTCAAGCTAAATAATGTTTGTCAGGAGTTATCGTTCCAGTTGTATAGAGTTCACACTGGGGCGGCATCAAGCGAGTCACGCCGGGCCGTACCGAGCCAAGCGATTTGAGTTTTACGAACGTCACCGAAGTCTGTTGACGCTTAAAAATCCAATCGCTCTATACCTGCACAAACATTAGGATCCGTAATGAAAACAATTAATCAAATTAAAATTACTCCTGTGTCAAATATACTAGGTCTACGATTCGTACTATAGACTAACCCTTACAGATATATTATTCTTTCCTATTTAATTGAGCCAACGTCTTTCCCGCGAAATAACCCTGACGAATGGATGATTTTTTATAACTTACCATCAAATGTGATATAACTGCCTAAAATAGACAAAAACACTTCTCAAACTGAGGGTCTTCGTCAGGAGAGTTAGTTGTTATATTCTATAAGCCTATAAGCTACTATATCACACGCTCTCGAAGTTTCCTTGTCAAGATGGTTTACTTCAGAGCCGTGTAATCAGCATGGTCAAGTAATAAAATTGCATGTAGACTATTAAAATTTTATTTAAATCGTATATTATCAAGACTTTCTTGACGTACGTTATTAGAGTTCTAATTTTTTTTAATATATATTAACACTATTTTCTCAGAACTAATAGAATTATAAATATATAATTATATTGTCCCAATTCCAAATTTATTATAAAGCTATTTGGTCACTTTCTCCGTCTCTAACGTTTGCGCGAGTGTTTTCGCTTTCTTGAGTTGGCGTACGTCCTCTTGAAGACTGTGGTTGATCTAGGTCCCGTGGCACTCCTTTAAGAGTAAAGTCGTTTGGGCTTATTTATTTTTAAATGAAATCAACTATTAGTGGGAGAATTACCCTAATGTATGTTATTAGAATATCATGCAACGCTCATCTGTTGTCCTATTTTATCGAGAGGGGTTTATAAAACAGGCGAATCGTTACTTGCTATATCCTAGTAAAACTCAGAAAGCTTATATGTTGAGGAAGCTCTGTTTTTCCGAGAAAGAAATGCATTGCTCCTAACTGTAAACATTCCAATGTACGAACTTGTTACGGGTCACACCTAGCATGGGTATATATATATATATATATATATATATATATATATATATATATATATATATATATATATATATATATATATATGTATATATATATAGAAAAAGGTTGCTTGTCAACTAGAGAGATATTATTCGAACATAACCACTGCTTTGTATTTTTTAATATCACTTTATTCACAAACGTTTTCGCTCTCTTAGCTCTTCAGGCTCTCTTAGCTCATCACCTGAAGAGCTAAGAGAGCGAAAACGTTTGTGAATAAAGTGATATTAAAAAATACAAAGCAGTGGTTATGTTCGAATAATATCTCTCTAGTTGACAAGCAACCTTTTTCTATATCTACACTTGTATTTGGCACAACGCAACTTTTATATATATATATATATATATATATATATATATATATATATATATATATATATATATATATATATATGTACTATTATGACAAAGAAAGGTGATGTGAACACAGAAATTTTAGAAAAAATCTGGATGTACCTGCTGATGTTGGAGGAATTGTACCTTCTTGTACACCAGTTATATTTAATGGGACAAATTGGGTACTCATTCCTAAAAAACAAATGGTACTTTTTTAAGAAAGAAACAATTAGTATCAGTATAAGTAATAGAACACTGATTCCTACTTGCACACCATTTATATTAGATTGAACAGGGTTGATATATATTTTTAGAAGTTTTAAAACTGTTTTGTGACAATAGAATATGTTCCTTATGAAATACAGTACTGTGCAAAAGTTTTAGGCTCCCAGTCAAATTGTCACTTGTTAGTAAAATTCACGGGATTGCAAGACGATCTAGGTAGAAAGACTTGTAGTGGTCTTGCACTTGGTACAGCCACCATGAGAGACCATTATTGCGGCACAATGCCCCGTCATTAACCTAACAAGGTTTTTGTTACATCTGGATAAACAGCCTAACGTGATGCCAAAATGGCATCTTTGATTCTTCCCAATGAATCTCTTCTTAACTTTTTCCCAAAAATGTTCAATGAGGCTTACGTCAGCAATCTCTTATAGCCCTGGGTTGGTCAATATCACTTTCTTTCAGGCTCTTTTCTGTATGACATGGTGCCCCATCTTACTGAAAGATATAATCTCCACCACAAAGCCATCTCATCTATTAGGAAAGTTCTAGATACAAGCCAATCATACCATTTTCCGTATCTAGTCGAAAATTTACGATCTTTGGACTTTCTAAAAGGTGGAGAGAGCTTTGCGGTTGAGACTTTATCTTTGAACAAGATAGGGCACCATGTGACAGAAAAAAGCCCCACAGAAAGAAATATCAATCAGTACAGGGCAACGAAAGAATTCTGACCTAAACCTGTTTGAATATCTCTGGGAATAAGTGAGGAAAAGGTCAGATAGAAGACTGTAAATTCCCTCACGTGAGGCTGTTGATCCAGATGTAACAAACAAGCTTGTTGCGTCAATGACTGGGCATTGTGCCGCAATAATGGTGTCTCATGGTGGCTGTACCAAGTGCAAGACCACTACAAGTCTTTCTACCTAGCATGCCTTGCAATATCACGAATTTTACTAACAAGTGACAATTTGTCTAGGGACCTAAAACTTTTGCACACTACTGTATGTGGTAAGACAGAAACTTGGAAATGTTTTCTGTGATTGTTGAATATTACTACCTCAATAGTCTTTGAAAGATGGTTATAACATGTTAGTAATTCCGGAATGAATTTAGTGGGACTTATTGAAGTAAATAACAAAATATTATTGATGTATCTTAATAGGCGGAAACTGGCTGAAGTTGCTATGTATGCAACTGGAACTAAATGCATTTAATGCTGCACGTTTCTGAAACCTCAAGAGGTCTTGTATGAGAAGTCATGCTAGTTTTTAGTACCTACTGTAATGGCTCACTGAATTTTGGAATGTATAGATTTTGATATAGGTGAATGCTTCTTTTTGTTGTCGTGAATCCACAAGAACCTATCAACCTGGAACATAAAAAAATATTCAGTGACATTTTTGTGCTGCTTCTTATTTAAAGACTGTTTGTTCCCTGTCAGTGCATAAGTTTTCTCAAACAACTGACATGCCTTGAAATTTAATCCTTTAAGTCAGATAAACCTAGTCCGAGTTTTGTTTTTTAGGCTTACTTTTAATGGAATTTTTGGGCTTACTTTTACCTATTCTGAATACTATACATAACTTTGTGCAAAATAGTTTTATTTTGTATATATGCCAGGCTGTAGCGAGATATGTTAGTGTAAACTTTCCTCGATGTACTTGGTCTCGCTAAACATGTTTGTTTAACAAAATTGCTTTATGTACAAGCGAGTGGTTTTGGAATATAATGTTTTCTTATAGCTTCTTTATGGCTTGAAATTTCTACACTATCAAACGTTTTTAAAAGCCATTGAGTAGTTAGCCTACAACGCCCTTTTTGTTTTAGAGTCAGTTTACTTTTACAATACAGGCCGTAATTTCGAAAATATATCGCTACACATTGTCTTTCTAATACACTACTGTGCTTTAAGTAACGTAATAACAATACTAAAATTTAAAACAAGCTTTAAATACGTATAAAATATATTACTTACTTTTTACTCTATACTCTTTATATTCTTGTGTAAAATTTCTATTCGCGGCGAAATATCCTGAATATAGAAATATCACGTGATATGTGCCATTTACTATGCATGTGTGCTCATCCATAATTTCTGTCGTCTAAGCATTCCCGCCATTAGCTATTTCGTGTTTCATGAGATGCATTTCGTTTGGCATTGGGCATTTTCTTGACATGCATTTCGTTGATGTTTCAGACGCTTTTTCTGCAAGTTTACCAAAGAGAAAAAAAAATTAAATTCCATACATCATGTCATTATTAATCTGAATACTTTCAAAAGTATCATAATGTATTTTACCTAAAAATTAATGTAGCTTTTGAATTCATCCCAATATTCGATTCCACTTCGTACCAGTATAGCTTCAGCATTATATAGATACCAAAAGTTTGCTTGAAACATAAAAGAAAAACGCGGATGCGCCATGTTGCAGTGGTAATTCAAATTATTGTCGATATATACTGGATATATACTTTATCCATACATAATTCTATAGCTGTTGTTCATGTAAATATCCAAGTTATATATTTTAAATATTCGTAGAAGTTTTGAGATATGGCTTACGCGCCTAGCTATGCACGCATAACATAACATAACTTATTTTTTAAGTTAATACTGCTGTTATATTATATCTTTACTCAAAAAAGATTGAGTCGCCTTGTAAAAGTAGTCGTCTTATTCGAGGCCTTGTTGCATGACATACTCGAACATATTACATCGTCATCGGCAAGGTTTCTGTGAGCATCTTAGAATTTTCCGGAATATGTTGCTTAAAGTATCAGAATGCGGGATTCTACATAATAAATGCTTAGTTACCGTAAAGATTCCAACAACGTAGATCTTAACCAAAATGTTGGATTTACCATGCAATATTTCGACTTTGATTGATAGCAAGTAGATTGAACGCAGCGTATGTCTCGATTACGTGAAATTTTTTTTCGTTTGGTGTCAAAGTCGCCGGTCTTTCTCTTAGATTCTTTAAATTTCGCGATGCTTCAATTGTAGCTAGGAGTAGCGACGATTTACACATCTTTTCTGCACTATTATAAAGCTCAATAAAGCTGGTTTTCCCTGGTGCGGCACAAGTGGATTCACGGCATTCATATATATCAGGAACCCTTCACTTTCACATTTATCGACGTGGCCAAAAATTCATCGACACATAACGCATAATGTATTTTAATATCATCAAAACTTCTAAATAATTAAATTACAATTGTATTTGACATTTAGCAATTCGCAATATCTTTCATATGGTAATTTTTTGTAACGTCTTTCTTTTAATTCAGTCTGAGAAAACAACATTCTCAACTATCGGCTTTTATTTTATACTGCATGACTCTATTTTTTGTTGTTTCAAAACGCTGTATGGCAGGGTTTTTTTGTTATACATACACGAACATGATCTTGCTTTTACTATTCGCTAGCTGGTTTGTAATTTAAATGAGCAATGAGTTTCATTGTACTTCCATCTAGTCTCCAAACCATGTATATTCTAATAACTGTGCTTCCATTTAATCGTATCTAAATGTCATAAACAAGTCATTTTCACCAAGGAGAAATAGTCTGGTTGAAAATTTGTCTTTATTTCTGTATTCAAATTGGCCATTATTGACTGCATTGCATGCACATAGAAATATATCACATCAGCCGCCTTGACATGTTCACGACTTCACGAAAACCAGGCATTATTGCTGAAGAGTTTAAATTCAATCAATAATTTCATTGTATAGCAACATGTACGTCGAAAATATCGTATCTATAGACGACCCTGAGCCAACAATGTCAGCGAAGTATTCACTAATTTCATACAAAGGAAGATGGAAAAAGTAAGCAACTTAGAACAGTAGGCCGTATTCTGTGGCCGATTATCGTTCAGTTTCGTTGCCCCCCTTCGGGCACTACTTGAAAACACGATAGAAAATTAGGATAAATTATAGAAAGTCTAAATTCACTTGTTTTCACCTCCACAAACCTGCAGTTTTCGAGCATTTCATCTTCGAAAAATCGGTAAATTTACATGTTTCGCAATACATCGACGCCATTTTGATTCAGGAAATGTTGAGGATACTTGGTGTAATATACGACGTATATAGCAGATTCAGCAGTTTTATACCGGTATTTAAATGAAGTTTCCAGCATTTTTGCTATGCAAGCAGCTTCAACCAGTGAACTGAATTGAGTTCACTGGCTTCAACAAGGAAGCTTTGAGTGGCGTTTCACGAGGTTTTTCGCAAATTTTCTTAGTTTTTTAAAACTAAATTAGTCAGGGAAGACTTAGACAACAATTAAACGGAGAAGCATTCGACAATTTGCGATTTTTTATAGCATTCAGCTCTTGGAATTTACAAATAAATTAGAACAACTTTATTTACACGCATCAAAATCATCAACGAGCGTTTTGTTTCTAGTCAAGTTATATAAAATAGTTACTACACAATACTTTTTCAGCATAACCTTTGTTTTATATTAACTACAAGTATAATACACACGTTTTCTCAACAAAACTATTAACAAAATCTCAGTTTCTTGAAAAAGTTAATTACCAAACGCCTTTATCTTATCATCAATCCACTAAAAAGATAATTAGAGTACATCTATTTAATACGTGATTTGCAACGTAGAACTACTGTACATGTTAAAATATTAAACACGCATACCAAAGTTGATATCAGCCTGATGTTTTAATACCATGTTGCTGAGCCGGACACGAAAACCAGGAAAAACCCCTCCGGAAAAATCTGGAACGTGTTCTCCCTCCCATGCTGCAGCAACGCTTTTGGAGGTTAAAAGCTAGCACTTCTCTAGAGTCATCCACACTTGTTGAGGCTTTGTCTCCATACAATAAACAAGTAAATTTGTTCAGCTCATTGACAAGATCTTCTGAAGGAGGGAAGTTTCTTCCAAGCATTGAAAAGCACTCAACAAACTCAGGAATTTCAGCCAATGTTTTCCACGCAGTTTTTTCCCCTTTCCGTGAAAAGAGCTCGTACTGTCACAACCTAAGCGTTAAGGGAAAAAATATATTTTCTAATATATATATTTATATATGAATATTTGAATATCTGTCTAATACCATTACCGGTAAAAGCATGAAAGCCTGGTAAACAAAGAGCAACATCCACGCCCAAGAATTTTGAGATAATTGCTACAGATACGCAACGACGTCTATCTCCCGTGCCAGTCAAAAAGAAAATCTCTTTCTGTATCTGTTGTTGCATGGCAATCGTAAGTATAAGAACATCTGTATCAGGGCTGTTGATAATAACTTTATCGTACGTTGCTGCTGCGTGGTTAGCATGTAGAATTAAACGAGTGTCTGCTTCTTCGTGGTTGCTATGAAGCGAAGCCACCTCATTACTGGTAACACGATCGTTCGGGGAATCACCGGGATATAAAACATAGCATCTTTCTTAGTTAGCAGTTAGGTACATAGTTGAAATGGAACACCACTGAGAGGAGTTACATGACCTCCAGTGTTCACATAAGAAAGATATGAGGGATTCCTTATTTTCACCGCAACTTAAAAACTTTTTCCACTGTTTTGGAACACTCTGATCTTTTCCAAAGATGTGAACTTTCTGGACTCCTTTTTCAGCTCTTCGTTGTCTCTCAGCATTCTTTATACTCAACAGAGGATACCTGTCTGCAACGAAATCTAATCGTTTGGAATTATACTTTTGTGCTAGCGTTATGAGGTTGTTTAAAAGAGCATCTGCAAATTCGCCAAATGTTTTCCATTTTCCTTTCATTGCCTGAATAACTGCCATAGCATCTACAATCAGTGCATTGTTGTTAAATGCACAAACATTGACTTCTGGATTTCCAGATTAATTTTCCAATACTTCAGCAAGTTTAGACTAGGCAGTTTTCACAAGTCCTCCAGTTGCCGTAGACAACGAAAGAGGGTATGTACCAAGGCTGTACGAGAGCAATTCATTTAGATCGACATGCCGACTCTTAGCAATGACCAATAATCGAGCAAACAAGTTTCTGTTTAACATGATGTTCACCTTCTTTCCTTCTTTGTTGTTCAAATATACGGATTTTGTTGAGGAAAATGTCTGAAGTTTGTTCTTTTTCAACTTCATAAAGATGTCAGGGTCTTCGCTCAACAGATTCGTTTTCGTAAATTCCAAAAACTGTTGCTCTCCAATGTTCTCTGCGTTCAGAAGAGTATCCGCAACATCATTTCCAACCATTACACCACTTGCCAAACTTATTAGCTCCTCTTGTTCTGTTTCAAATGGGTTTATCATACTTGAAATTGTACTCATCACATCAATGACAGATTTCTCATGGCGCTTGCACTTTGTATGATCAAGATCTTTGCGATTTCTGAATATAAAATTTAAAAAAGTTGAATGCATATAATACCTAATGATGAACAGCAGAATGCACAACGGCCCAATTTATAAAATTACCTTGGTATACAACTATTTCCAGCCATATCTTTGCACTTGTTTGTTATTGAAGCTCTTTCTGATTGCGAGAGTAGCCATCTATGAACAGTTGAACGATTCATTGAAAACCCAATCAAACCACCTTTCGTTTTAGAATCCCTGTTTGCAGTCTGCTCTATTGTCTGGTCACATGCAACTGCAGAGAAACCGTGTCTGCTTTGACGCTGAACAGCAAAGTTCTTAGAGATTTCTTCACGAATTCCTACACAGTGAAAAATATATAGGAGATTTCTTTGGTTACAGTATAATATTACAAATAATATTCTTTACTGGTGAGCTCTTTGCACGTGGTATGTTGTAAGTAGAATAATCTTCCTCTCTGTTCGAACAATCCTGCTTCAACATGAATAAAACTATATACTGTACCTGGGTGCGTACTTTCCAATGCGGTCATTTCTAGCATATATGCCGAGCCATATCTGGAATAATTGACTCTATCACAAATGAAAAACCATGGAAGCATAGCTCTGAAAGCTGCTAAGTGGAGATCCCAGTTTACTTCTCTTGTTGCTCTAATAAACATCAGTAGTACACCTGTATGTGTAAAAAATACTCTATTTTTAACGAAGAACGAACTGCAACAATATTAATGGAACATTGTATAATACAATTACCTGCCATCTTGATATACATGCTCCAAAATGAAAATGTTCTAGATTTACTACACATATCGTTAATGAACAACTCATATGATTGTAATATTTGCAGCATCTTTTGATTTTCAATGCCATCAGTAAGGAACTTGTCGTGTGGAAATGAATTTGCCATACTCTCAATGAATGAAGAAATATCGTCCTGGTCTTTTTCCGTCATGGAATCCAGAAAAGCTTGAAACCTTAGACGTTGAAGTGCTTCATACATAATCTTGTGACATGACACAGCCCGGTTGTAATGCTTGCCAGAGAGAATACCTTTGATTGATCCTTCACTCACAATACCAGATTCAATAAACGCATCCTGCAAGTAGAACAAGAATAAAACTTAATACTATACTGTATATAGAAATAGAATGAAAAGTGAAACTTTTACAGTTTTCTATTTTTGCCTCTTCTAAGTTCTCATCATTTTAAATGCACCTAATATGTTTAATATGATCATTTGGCCTTGTACAGCACCTAACACAAGAATCTATTATCATCAATTAATGGCAATTGAGAACTTTTGCTATTCATTTATTCAAAGTGAGGTTGGGATTGGTATTTTGCTCCTCAAGAACAAATACACTGGACATGAGGTTGCTGCACAATACAAAACAAATGCAAAAAAATGAGTCCTTACCTTTAAGCCTCCATCTTCAAAGATCTTTGACATGGCAGAAAGGTAACACATGATGGTGTGAAACTCACCAAGGCGAACAACAAACCGATTTAAGAATGTCTCTTCTTTCCAGCGAACATGTTGTACTTTAGCATAAACAGCTTCATCGAAAACTAACACAGCATATCTCAGCTCTAATTTATCTGCAATCTCAGTACTCCGTGTGAGGATTGTGTTGATGGTTGAATATTCTGTTGGGGATGCATCAATGACTGGTAAATATCCAACTCTGGATACATCAGGTATTTCATTACTACAAAGCATGGTGTTAAATCCAGTCCATCCTGGCAATACTTCCTCATCTGAAGAACATATATACTTTACTAAAATATATGCTAAGTCCAGTTTATAAGCATTAATCACGAGATCTTCTTTGAACAAAAGTTCTAGACATTCAGGATCCAGTTCAACAGTTTGAAATTCTGGTGTCATCTTTACTCCTATACTGTAAGGCACAATGTCAGTTGAAGGCATTTTTACTGTGCGTTGTGTCTTTTTAATAGCAGTTGATGGGTGTTCTGATGAATTCAATGGTGTTTGAACTGAGACTCTTTGTGTAATGATACCATTGGTTACATGAGTCTGCTTTTCAATCTCCTCTCCAAAATCTATGTTGTCGTAAACCAAGTTGACATACTTGGTTGCAACAAATTCCCTTTGAAGAATGTTTGATGTGTTAATTGTTGTTTGAGCAATTGCAGAGTCATAGGCCATGGTTGATGATAGTGATACACAATGTCCAAAACCATTTAAAATATTAATAAGGCCAGAACAGCCAGATATTTGCCGAACAGCTATTGCCAATGCTAGGGATTTTGGTGTTTGTACTTTCCCTTTATTAGCAACATACACCAAGTCTTGACATAGAGAAAAAACCTTTGCTGTTGTTTTCTCTTCTAATTCAATGTAATCAGTATCCTCTGGGTCATCTGAAAACCCTAGCAGCCATGTCATAAAATTAAACAAGCAAGGTGTTACCACTTTTCGAACATTTTCAGCAGTAATATCCGATGCAAGTGGTGGCCAGTTTTCATACCAAGTGGATGCTTGGTCTTCAACTCACTCTTTAATGTCATGCCTACTGTATACAATTCTTTCAGTGTTGCTCTCTATCATGCATGTTGCATATCTTCACCATCAATTTCAAAAGAATCTGACTCTTGTGAGCTCTGAGATGGTTTCCTCATTATTGCCATGAAACTTTCTGCTACACTTGCTGCTTGACGACCACATTCTGCATAAACAATCTCACTCTTAGATCGAACCTTTGGTCTATGAAATACAAGGTGGAAACCTTTTACGCAAGCGCTTCTTCAGTCGGAAGGATCTATAACTCGAGGCATCCTCTTTTTCAACACGTCGCGCAGTCTTGATGAACTCTTTCGTCAGTTTCTTCATGTAGAATATATTATCCTGTCTAATAATTCTTGCATTCACAAACTCCATACAGAAAACATCAAAGGACTTCTCATATTTGCATTCATGTTTTTCTGTTTCTTTCTCATTTGACTGTCTAGTGTGCCTCAGAAATGATGTATACTTTTCATAGCAACGTTTATGGTATTTCACTTCCAAAGCTACCATGTCCTTATTAGCAATTTGTATTAAAACACTTTCATCATTTTTCCTTGTTGCAGCTTCCTTGAGTTTCCCCCCATCAACCGTTTCTGCTGATACCAATTTGTCCAACTTCCTTTTTTCGATTTCTAAATATAGACATGTAACGAGCTATTCTTAGAAATTAATAATCGTCGAAACATGAACGCATGACAATTTATGATCTACAACAAATCTTATTAAAAGATAAATACAAAACTTTAGAGAGTAAGAAAAACCCCTTTTAAACAGACTTACCGATTCAGTGAAGTAAGACTTTTCTCTCTTGCAAATAATACAAATGTGCGGCAACACGTGCGGATTCCTCGATCATACTGCCGAACTCGTTGAGGCGGAACCCAGATTAGACCGCAGCATCTTTTTCGCAGGTTGAACTTCTTCTGGTTCTGTGTCGTCAATTTCACCAACAGAAGATGAGAGTTCAACTGCTTTACGTTCTTTTTTTTCATCCTGACACCGCACTTGAGTCGGAAGACGCCATGTTTACAAATAAAACTGCTGAATCTGCTATATATTTCGTATATTACACCAAGTATCCAGAACATTTCTTGAATCAAAATGGCGTCGATGTATTGCGAGACATGCAAATTCACTGATTTTTCGAAGATGAAATGCTCGAAAACTGCAGGTTTGTTGAGGTGAAAACAAGTGAATTTGGACTTTCTATAATTTATCCTAATTTTCTATCGTGTTTTCAAGTAGTGCCCGAAGGGGGGCAACGAAAATCGTTTTCTAAGCGACTTTTCGTGCCACAGAATACGGCCTACAGGGACATCTTTCAGATTTCAATTGGCATCTGGCCTAGGTGCGATATATGTGAGTACATATAAATTGCTAGAAATTGTTACTAGAGCGCCATTCCTCCTATTTTGCTTATTTGCGCGCGCATGTCAGTTAAGATATGTTTCAGACAACGATTGCGGCCAAAAATACTCGTCAGCTTTCGCTCCAGTCTAAAATTAAAAGGTCACAGTCAAATCAGACAATTTCCGACGCAAATGAGGGGTTGATCTGCTGCTTCGTGCTTAGATGATAAATTGTGACATGAAGCCTGCAGCTAACGTAACGAAAGCTTTGCAGATATCAAGTGCTGTTAATGAATATTTTTTATTCGTCATGCAAAATTGCAAGAATATTAATACTACTCATTCCTTGAAGTGCTTTTAGTGTTTCCTTTGCTCTATTGTTGAAATTTATTATTTTAACTTTTTATACTTTGAAGTTGAGATGCGGAATATAGAAAAGCGGTTGTGCCAGACTAAAAATGAACTTGCAATTCTAATTATAAGTAGCTTCGACAATTTATTTTTAAACTATATAAAACTCACTATAAACAAGCTGCACCCAACACAAACAATTTCACATTCATACTTGCATTTATCGTTATATGTTTGGTTTTCATAATACCGTTTATGTCTATTTCACTTGTAGCCACCTTGATCACCAAACAACTTCTTAATCATTTCATTGTGTGGATTGACATCACCCAAGAAATGTGGTGTTTTTGTTTCCATTACTTTGACAAGCACTTTCGCTACTAGTGCCATTGCATTTTGGTTGGGATGGAAGCCATCGACTGGTTCGATAAGTTGCCATGTCTCGTGACCTGCCCCCATAGAATTCCAAATGTTTATTACCTCTTCAAATACGTTTGGGAAGAACACCAAGTCGAAATTTTGATATTTTTGGGTCTCTGCGATATTCTTTAAAACCGCGCTCAATTCTCTTGCGCGCTTTGACGTTGCATTTCGTATGGTCTCATTGCTGTTGAGCCAACCTGCGCACGGGGAGATTTGCAGGCAGTTGAGGAAATCGTACAATCTAGCGTACGTGACGTCGTTTCGTAATTTTCCAATCGGGTGTGTACGGTTATGCATCGCGTCGAATAATACTCGTCCGTCCGCCAAACCTATCATGGCAACATGGCTGCCGTTAGGAAGGATCTTATCGAAACTTGACATGGTTTTCAACGCGTTTGCTCTCATCTGTTCAACCGTTGTCATACCTCCGCCTGTCGGGTCGCTGTTACAAACATCGTTGCCGACCAGCGAGTAGAAAACTAACGCTGGTCTGTCCGCTTTCTGGTCACGTGCCATAGCCCCGACGAGTTCGTCATTCATCGTAAACGAGTCTGCGCCGTTCTTCCCAATATTTTGATAATCTCTGTGGTTGCACAGGTTGCGTTTCACGATGTGCTTATAAACCGAATCTATTGGCCCGGAGATGATGTGCGGCCAATCAGATTGATTGTAATAACCAGTGAAAGCAGACATCATTGGCCAATCAAATTCGTTGGTCAAAACCAACCACAAATCTTTAAAGATGTCTTTCGTGATTTCTGTCGCTGTCAGCCATTCAGGAGGTATGTGAAAATGAGCGGTCATGGAATCCCCTAACGCGATCGTCCCTTGAGGGGAACTTTCTGCACACAATATATCCTCCCATGTACGTGATTGTTGCAGGTTGTAACCATAGATCCCGTTGCAATTCGAATCAAAGAACATATCGCCGTTAAATGGCTTTCTTCCAGGATAATGCGAGCTAAAAAAATCGTTGCAATCTTTGCCCCGCCATGCGGAACCTCGAAGCTTGAGGTAAGCACTAAAACGATCCCCGTCCAAGTCGAATATTGGTTTTCCTTGTCTGAATACCTGCTTCACTAAACCACAAATCCAATCAATCACAGGCAACGTACAAATATCAAATCCGAGCTGAACGTCCTGAGCGATTCTTTCTTCTTTAATGTGATTGGACAGCTTCCCATTCGCTAATCCTTCGACGTTTTTATTAGTTTTTGTAAACTGATCTTTGGTCGTCGTGTCTGGATATAGTTTGCACTCCGGTTGACCTTTCTCGTTGTAACATATGTTGATTTTATGACAAATAACATCGGGGGAGGAAAACTGATACGGCTTGATTTTGTGCATAAATACTTCACCAAGTATGGAACAGCCGTAGGATAATGGCGGCGGAAAGTAGGAGCAGAGTTGTCTAAACGACTTACTAAAACTTACGTTGTGGTACTCCGATAATTGTTGTGTCAAGCTAACAATGGCCGTGCAGCCAAGACAATAAACACCGCCGTTTGCTCCTTTTTCTACCGCCTCTGAGCGAGAGATCATGAACGAGGCTCCGATAATATAAAACAGAAATCTTTGTTGGAATATGACGGTCATTTTGAGTCCACGTATGCGACAGTATCTACCCCTGAACTGTTTTGTAGAAACGATAATACCTAGTCATAATAATACCACGCGACCATGATTATACTTACAAAGAGAAGGGAGCAATATTAAACTCATGACATGTGGCGATTCATTTTCTCCTTTCGATTTCAAAATAGTCAAATTAATTTGTTTTTAATGCTTACACGTGTTGTCATTGAAGCAATATAATGACTGGCACATTAATATTTACAAAGGCATTGTCTGCGGCCAGTTTATTTGGGGATTTTTGTAATTGAGTGCGCCGGAAAAAAGCAAAAATATTGTTAACGAGACGCCGATTTTATTACTCCGGCGTCAGCGACGGAGTTGAAAATTCGCCCCGGTTTTATTATTTTTTTTTTTTTTCTTATTTTTCGTCGTCGCAAGTCTGAAATGGCGCGAAACATTCTAGTATTTAAAATGTGTATGTAACCGTATTTATATACGTCCGAGTCTTATCTCCCAAGAGTTGTGGTGGACAGCTTTGGCTAATTTTCCGATGCGCGATTCGATTTCGCTCGCATGATACGGCAATTCCTCCAAGAGGAACAAATAAACCGTTGTTTTCATGCTGTTCGATTAAGTTCAGATTGAATTTGTGTAAGAATATATTTATACATGTAGATTCTGGTCCTATTTTAATAATATCGCTGTTATTTCGCCGTTTAACAAGATGATGTGGTCGTGTATGTGCGCGTTGACACGTCTTAGTTTGCACAGGATTGAAGATTTCATATAACTATACTATATAAGCGCGAATTCCAAAGGCAAAGTGTAAAACAAAGCGAATGTATCATGTTAAAGATTATTTTTGAACAATTGAACTTGTATGCTTTTTAAAGTACGATGTGATTCTTAATTTCGCGATCGAACATTTAGGTTCGCAAGGCATCTAAATGCGAATATGAACTGTATTGTAATAATAATAATAATATAAGTTGTAAGTCGAACAATTAGGGGTTAGGTTTTTTTCTGATAATTATCAACAGCCAAATTTTGATTGATGGTTTGCCTCCCTCTAATTGTGGAGATCGGACATTTAGGACTGAACCATTGGCAAGATTGGGCAAGGGATTCTTCAGGGTTCTTTACTTGGCCCTGCGAAATTGCTCGATGATTTTTCTCCGGATTCTAGAATTAGGACCGAACATCATCACCAATAATGCATGAGGTTCCACAGGGATATATATTGGACCCTCATATTTTAGTTTTACTATCGTGAATGGTCTGCCAAATAACAATCTAAATGATACCGAATACGATCATTAGTTCAGTTGCGCATATAGATCAGTGTTTCATACATCAGTTGCACATAGAGTTCAGTGTATCATTTATTTGTCACAAAAAGAGTTCCTCAGGGTTCTATATTGGACCCACATGTTTTAGTTTTATAATTATGAATGACCTGGCAGAAAAAACGTCTTGAGCAAAATGAAACCGAATACGAGTATTAGTTCAGTTGCGCATATAGATCAGTGTATCATTCATCAGTTAGTCATGGAGATCAGTGTATTTTTTATCGATGGCGCACTGAGAACTGTTTGCCATTCATCTTTTGCAAAAAGAGATCAGCACACAATAATTCTGACAATTTGGGCATGGCTGCGCGAGGGATTATCGGTTAAAATTGTTTACGCAATCATAGACCTCATCCTTTCGATGTTTATAGCGTAGTTGGACAATAGAAAATGAATAAATAAACTAATTTTTATTACGTTATTTATTTAAACCAATTAGATATTGACTTATGGAGAGTAATGGATGTGGGATTCTGATAAATTTTTTGAATGAACTCTTAATGTGGTAACTCTGCCGACTTTCATGTCTTAAGAACTTAGGACTGTGTGTGGTGGCAGCGGTCTGCCATTTGGCATTTAAAAAAGTATAGAAACCCTGCCCAGCTATTGGTGACTGAAAGGGCAAATTAATATCAATTACAATAAATTTTCTCTGAATTTGTCGAATAATTGTCGACTGAATTGAAATAGCTGGAGTGGAAATCAATGTGGGTTATATCACGTTTGCATACATCACGTGATTCCAAGATGGCGACAGGCAAGTTATAATCAGTGATGCTTTTTAAGAATTGAGGAACCATATTCTGTTTAACGTTTAACGGCAGCTTCTTTATAGAAATGTCCAATGACCGATATAATCAGAGAAGGTTAATAAAATGTTCTTTCTTTAACAACGACGTGATAGACTTTGAGTATTTACGTGTTAAAGATTAGACTGCAAACAAAACTGAACTTTTCTTGTTCTATAGTTAGACATTACTTCTAAAATACATTACTCGATCAATATTACTCTACTAATTTATTTACGTTTCTTTCTCTCCACGATGAAGAATTGGAAGTCAATCTCTATCCTCTATTAATTTTGTCGTCATGACTATATTTATATGGAATGTTTGATGCATGGCTATAATGGAAGTGGTTGATCATGTATAGATGGCAATAATTCTTGCAATGAGAAATGACCTCTTGGTGTTGCAATTCTTTCTTGTTCTATTATCGAATTTGTTCCAAAGCCAATAGCCAGTGGAAGTGGTTGATCATGTGCACTTCTAGTGCTGGTTGGTAAAGAGCGAATGGTTTCTTGTAAATGAGGCATTGTTTCTTGCACTGAGAAACGATCTCTTAGTTCTGTACTTCTTTCTTGTTCTTGCCTAGGGTTTGTTCTTAATGTTCTCGACATTTTTATCCAAATATCTGTAACAAGTAATACATACCAATCGATATCCTATTAGAAATTATATCTCCGGATATTTTTATCAAAGTCTGTTGTCACAATTGGTACCTTGAAACTGACTATAAACCTATAAAGAGCTATTTTAATTAGATATTTATCACAAAAGTCTTGGAATTTAGGAACAGAATGGTGTTAATATATAATCTACCCCATGCAAGTTTATTTACCATCTTTGTCAAATAGGACTGGTGATCCCCACAGAGCTTATTGCCCCATTGACAGGGTACTCTAATTTATATACTAATTATATTCACTACATCCAAGTTGGCTGTACCATAGAGACCTGCTATAATCTTCACCATATAATTTTCTTATACCTATGAACTAGAATATATAGCCTCCCATGTTTTAAACTACAGTTAATGTGGATGCTGCCACTATTGTCACCTTGAAACCTATTTTAAGGAACTTAATTTGATGTTCTTTTTGATGTTCTAAGACTTTGGATTTTAACTTTATACTATGCCATATAAATGATATAATAAAATTGTATTAGTAGAGTTTATAACAAGTTTCTATTGTGGTAAAATGAATGGATTTTTTTTACATCTCTGGTCTATAAATATATGCTATTTCATGAAGGCAAAATAAACAGCAGGAAGTGCTGTCCTTCTGGACAACACCTCACCACGTGAAGTGCATTTGTACAGGTCATTTTGGTCGAAAACGCGACCTGATGACCTGACCTAGAGACTCGATGGGTCAGTCAGAAAATATTTGAGTCGAGCTGACTGACCTGAACAGGGGTCCGCCTGTTCCCCTGTTATCTATAGAGGTCCACCTGTTATCTAGAGGTCCACCTCTTCCTCTAGAAAAACCTATTGTTTTTGCATGCTCTGTCGGGTTTTGAGTGCCCTTACTGTCTCAGTATAACTAATGGTGGTCCCTAGATCATCAGATCTTAACTCACTGAACAACATGCACAGAGCTGGCGCACACCCTCTGCAACTTAGAGGTCCTCCTGTTCCTCTAGGAAAAACTTAGGTTAATTACAGCCTCTAGACCTTTTTTTCGAGCACTTCCTGCCCAAATTATATGCCACAAAAATGTATAATTGTGTTGGTGCTTTGCTGAGTTGCCAGACGTTCAAAATCCTTATAAAGAATCTCAACATATAAGCTACATTAATTGCAAAATAAATATGCAAAAATATTTCATGTAACAACAATAACAGCTTGACTATAAAATTGAGTTACAAATCTTCACAGTTCAACAAATTATGTTGTAAAAACTGATTTTCACTGCATGAGCATAGTTCACGCATGCACATCTCCAATCTAATTTGCCATTATTTCACCCATAACTATGGCTAAACCGTCGTTTTACAAAAAATATATAAGCTACTTAAAAAAATAGAAATAGAAATTATTACTTTAAGACTACTTTAATCTAAAGTATGATTTTCAATTAATCACAAAGCCGGTGGAATTCCTGTCGTATTGTTGGTGTGACTTGGTGGAAGTTCTTCAACAGCTGTTAGAGGTTGCTCTGTTTCAGACAATTCAAATTCATCTGGTTCACGCAGATTAGAAAAAGGCGCTCCCATTGTTGTCAAATTCTGCAACAAAATTTGCGACTATATTTACAATATGCTTGTGAAAACAAGGGGGAAAAATGTTGACCAATCAGGGCGTTTGTTGACATTTTGGTCTCTAGACCAATCAGATTACGTGGAATTTGCAAAATGTAAACAGAAGGAGTGAAATCATAACACCCTGTTCTAAGCCTTCTGCAGCAGTCAATGTTTAGTTTTTCAATCTTAAAACACTAGAATCTGATAAAGCAATTCCTTTTCTACAATTTTGTCGTCGGATTTTTCCAGAATCGTCCTGGAGCGAAAATTATTTATGTTTGAATTGTCACGGCATGACCAGTGTAGATCACCAGTCCTGTCTCTAGACTCTACAGAAATTGCATTGTTTACAAACTGATTTCTCTAAAAAATAATGGTTACCAAGACGTTAACTAAATAATATATGACAAAGAGTGTATATTTACATTAACTAACAAATATTGCTTTGCTTACTTTTTAAAATATTATGAATATTATATCGTATACAGCGGGGAAAAATCGCGCGCTTTTTCCGAAAATGTTTCTTTTTTCTCAGCGTATGCAAAAAGGATACTACAAATTGTTAAAGTGAATAAAGTCTGTCAAAATGCCAAAATTTAAAAAGCAATGCAACAATCCGTTTCATAAAAAATGGTCGGGGCGTGAAGGAGAAAAGGTTTTAAATCTAAGAAATCGTGGCCTGCTTGTAATTTCAGTAGTTTTTGAGCAATATGTTAAGGAAGAACTTGGCGAAAAATCGTCTTATGGAATCCAGAATCTATGCGCAACATGCCTGCACAAATGCTTCACGAAACGGAAATTTACGCGATTGCTTCCTAAACAACAAGCCGACGAGTTGAAAAACAACGTGAAAAGCCAGGTATGACCTACAAAAAGCATTAAACTGATCAGTGAACTTGCTGTAATTATCAAAGAAAATCCGTTATTACAGAATGACAACATACTCTGGGCCCTCACATTGTAAATGCCCATACTTTTACATTTTAGAAATAAGTGGGTGGGGTGTGTAGGTGAAGAGCTGAAACCATATAATTACCTTATGGCCATTAGTATGGCCCTCAGAGAAAAAAAAGTCAATTAAGCACACTTGTAATTTAGCTTGTGGTATTGGAATCTTCTGCTAAAAACGAGATGAACAGGCAAGAATCTGAAAAAGAAACTACTGAAGTCAGCTCCCAAGGTGAAACTTCAACGGCTTACATCAACTCGCCTGTAGTTTTGAGTGGTGAAGAAACAATTTCCTGTTTCCAGCCAAACAATTGCAATTAGCAGTCAAGAATTGGAAAGCAATTCCAAAATTGTTACAGCCGAGCAAGAGTGCCAAACAGATGATGGTGTTTTTATGTCAATAGACAAATATGAAGAACTTGTAAAAAAGGCATCCTATCCAAATTTCAAAAATGATTTGAACAAACTCAGACCTGTCATAACAAAATTGGCAGAGCCTGAAATGGATCCTGATGTGTTTGAGATTATGTGCAAAGATGTTGGTGCTGATAAATTATATTCATCCATACAAGAAGCCATAACATTGGATCCAATGTCTGAAAAGAGAAAAATCTTAACAAAATGCGCACAATGGTCATAATCTACACCATGTTATACTCACAATCACAAAAATGCAACTCATTTCAAGTCACACTATCCAGGACACTGCAGCAGTTTGGAATCAGCAAACAAGGGCTTGAATCTCTACGGAATCTTGGAATTGTTGCACATCCTAAGACAGTCAACATATTAACTAAATTAGCCTCTTCAACCCACACAAGTCATGTTGTTACATTCATTACAGATGCAATTAAGAAGAACCAATTCCTTATTTTATGCATCGATGACTACCACAATATTCACACACAACACCGCCCGGAGACAAAAACCCAGACTCAAGTGGTTCACATGGCAACTTTGCTTTTAAAAGTGTTCCCAGAAATTCAAGCAGTTCCACATCAGGGAAGTGATATACTACCAAAACATCCAGTTGAAATTCCTGATGTGAAAAACTTTATTTCCATTAACATGCCAAAATTAGCTAAAACATATGCTGAAAATATGCCTAGCTGGGCATTATCAAAATATTTTGATCCAGAAGCTGAGAGACAACGACTTCTAATTCATGATTATCAACAAGTGGAGAATCATAACATTACATGCATGGATAACACCAAACTGGTTGACAGCATCGAGTTACCTCTCAAATCTGTAGAAAATGCACTAACAGCTATAAACAAAATGCTTACAAGTGGCTTGGAAATTTATCTTAAGGACTTTATTGCACCCTTTGTTGGGGACTGGCCCATGCAATATTTCATTAGACAGTTGGTTTATTCATCATCTCCCAGTGTGCCAACAGTGTTGAAAAATGTGGTTCCCCTGATTGGTCCACTACATATATCCTTAAATGCAAGAGAATGTGTCTTATTGAATTTTCACAATGTTTTTGCTGACCTTTATGCTTTCATCTTTGGGAAAAAAGCAAAGCTGGCTAAGAAACCAAAACCATGGCGTACATCTCTGTTGCTTGAAATCATTTATGGCGGATGGACATTGATCAGGGATCTTATTCTCTCGATGTTCTACAAAAGCAAAGATATTCAGTTTTTAACACTGTTAAATCTTCTCGACAATTATATCCCATTGGTGTTAAGTATCTACTCAATTAACTTCAAGTGTAACAAATTTGAACTTTTTTTCCAGTCCATACTTCACTGTTGGGTTATGTTTGTAATATTCCGAAGGCGCCACTATAACAAAGCTTTGTTAATAACCCTGTCAACATTTCTTCATTGGCAAGAAAATGCTTCAACTATGCTTGAAACCATTGGTCAACATTTACCTGCATTCGATGAGTATCCAGTGGAAAACTTTCACTCAGTCTTGAGAAAACAAACCAAAGAAACTGATACAGCTGATGAAATTTCACGCAAAGCTAAAGAAATTGATGCTTGCAAGCATGAACTCCATTTCTTCCAATCTGCATTTGTTCCACCCAGAAAGCCAAATTACAGCAGAAAGCGAATTGACACCTTAAAAGTGAAAGCAGCAGAATTCCTCACCCTGAAGTTTGAATCTATTTACACCCACCCTAATTCAACAATTCAACAACCCCAAGCCCCTAGACAGCCAAAACATACCACTAAGTGGAAGCTACCCCACCTTTTTGGTGAGAAGATCATGACAAATAGAGTCCTTCCACTTGGATTTACATCCATCAAAAATCCCCCAAACCCAAACAGGTAAAATTATAAATTAAAATTCAATTGACTGAGCCATGGATGATGCAAATTTTAGGGTGATTACATTTACAAGCCAGTCAGGGTGAGTTTAGCCACCCTACTGAAATTTATAACAGACAACATAGGTATTAAATAATATAACCAAAACACATGAATATAAGCTCACAGTTTGCAACGGTGGGCTCCTCTGCCCCTTAAGAGTTAGAAATGCATGTCTTATCGTAATATAGGTAATAATCTCCTGCAAATTTTGCCTGACAAGCAAAGTTTTTATTAAAACCTGTACTAGTTACTAAATTGAAATTATATTAAGTCTTACTTTATATATTCCCTGTCATAGAAAGTGCGATTTGATCAGCTGCGAAAGAGTTAACCCTCTCTGGAACGTTTTCCGCGGATGTGGCCATTCATTTCATATCGAATGCCTTCTGCCAAATATTAGCAATTGCCCTGTTTGTGAAGCAACGTTGCTGTCGAGTGTTCAAGATCTCGGTACGACTGCAAATAACGCTGTATTTACTCCAGCGACCTACTTTGAACCCAGTGAAGATGAAAACGATGAGCAGAGCGACGACAGTGATAGCGATGTTGGAGAGACCGAAGACGAACAGAATAAAACAACTGTGGACGAACTGCTGCGAAAAATAAACCTTTGGCAAAGGCCATCCTCTGCATTGCTGTGAAAGGCAGAAATCGCAAGGGTAATACAGGCCTGTAAATTCCAAGAAGTAAACCGGATGTATACCTACACTTTAGTGGGGCGTTTCCGCATAAATTACGCTCGAGTTTAAAAATACAACGTCAAGGATTAAGTTATTTTTTTCATAAATCGGTTTAAATCGAACCCGGCACTCTTAAATCTCAAATTTGATCGTCTGTTAAAACACGACTTTGTCCAGATAATTCAAACATAAATAATTTTCGCTCCAGGACGATTCTGGAAAAATCCGACGACAAAATTGTAGAAAAGGAATTGCTTTATCAGATTCTAGTGTTTTAAGATTGAAAAACTAAACATTGACTGCTGCAGAAGGCTTAGAACAGGGTGTTATGATTTCACTCCTTCTGTTTACATTTTGCAAATTCCACGTAATCTGATTGGTCTAGAGACCAAAATGTCAACAAACGCCCTGATTGGTCAACATTTTTCCCCCTTGTTGCTTGTGAAAGATTTTCGAAAAACTAGTAAAGCAATGAACGAGCATTAAATGGTCACATTTTAAAAGGCTAACAATTGCTGTGATCAATGATTTAGCTAACTCAAATCCTACCGTATGATTGGTGTGACTTGGTGGAAGTTCTTGAACAACTGTTGCATGAGGTTGGTCTGTTTCAGACAATTCAAATTCCTCTGGTTGGACTGCACCACCACAACACAGCTTAGAACAAAATCCTCCCATTGTTGTTAAATTCTGCAACAAAATTTGCTACTACAATCTCGGACAAAAGTTGTTGTAACACCAATCCCCTCCCCCCAAATTCAATATTGCCACGTGAAATCTCCATACAACATTGTTGCCACGTGAGATCTCCATACAACATTGTTGCCACGTGAGATCTCCATACAACATTGTTGCCACGTGAGATCTCCATACAACATTGTTGCCACGTGAGATCTCCATACAACATTGTTGCCACGTGAGATCTCCATACAACATTGTTGCCACGTGAGATCTCCATACAACATTGTTGCCACGTGAAATCTCCATACAACATTGATTTTGGGGGTGGGGTGTTACAACATTTTTGTCCAAGATTGTACATTTAATATATGCTTGTGAAAGATTTTCGAAAACTAGTAAAGCAATGAACGAGCATTAAATGATTACATTTTATATGGCTAACACTTGTTAATTGTGATCAATGATTTAACTAAATCAAATTCTATCCTAGTGTCTGTACACACACAACACGATAGGTACTGAATCCATCAACAATGAATGTATATATTCATGCTGGAGCACCTATGTGAACCAAATTTGCGAGTATACTCGCGTTGTCGATTTACCGGCTTATCAGGACGACAATAGAGCAAAAGCAATTTGATTTATTTTTGAACATAGTTATGAAGGTTTGGAACAGCTTGTTTGAAAGTCACAACTGTATTCCAAAAGCTCAGTCACCTTCAAACTTATTGAGTGGGAGATCTCAATCTTCGCATAAGGTTTCCATAGCGGTATTTCCACTCAAATAGGACCTTGATTTTCAGTGTTTTACCTTGGATCTTAAGATTTCCACACATTAATACAGGACTTTCTCATTAATCAGTGATAAGAAAATTTGTCCCACTCAGTGAGCTTTTTGAATACTGGCGTGAGTGTCGGCGTGATATATATAATTATGTATCCTACAGGGCATTACATGTATATATTGAACCTTGCATGTGTATGCTCATTTTGAAATAATAATCAAAATTACTGTAAGTTGATTGCGATGTTTAGGTCACCATTCTATCCCTAATTCTAATCCCGAATTTTTTGAAATTTTGGATATATATACCGTAGATTAACCTAAGGCTTTATTAAAGGGACTCTTTGTTTCTTTGTTTTTTGAATGGGCACTATTTTTTAGAAAGGTAGACATTTATATATAATAATATTCTTGTATATATGTTTGCATGAAGTTCCTGGTTTCGTAAGATATAAACATTATTTGGTATATATTGTTTATCAGTAAAAACATTATTGCCTAAACGTACTTTCGACTTAGGATATCACCACATGCACAATATACTGGTAAAAGAATCAAAACATACCGTTTAAATCAATATGATAGCGTTTATATGACTGGGGACGATATAGCCACGTTTCACTGTTTTTTTTTGCATATAATTATTTAAATGACTATGTAATTTGCATATTGGATTTCGGAGCATGTGTAGTTATCTAAGAATTCTTCAAACTATATACTTATATACAGTGTGGGCAAATATTCTGACTTCTGTTCGCATGAGACAAGAAATCAAAGCCTTACCTACAACATTGTTCGGCTTATTTTATCAAATTGAGGCTTTTAGGGTAACATGACTAAAAGGCTTCACAAATGTTATTCCAAACTACAGGTTGATTTTTAAGATTATACAGTAAATAACGTGTAGTTTATTGAGAGTATATATCTACGTTTTCTGCTCGGAAAGCTGCTTGGAAAAACGTATATAAATATAACACTGACGTCAGCACTCGACTAATTTATAACTGGAAAGTAATGTTATATTAAAAGGAAGGTTTGTCTTTAATTCCTATAAATATCTCTTCTATTACATTAGTATGTAATTATACATTAATTGTGTCCTGAACACGTGCTCTCTTGGAGTGTTCCATGTTTTGTTTCTCATCAGTGTAGAAGTGATTTGGAATGTTCAGAGAAGTAAACAGGCTTTAATAACTAATACATGCAGAGATTAGCCAAGGCAAACTTCATATTAAAAATTAATTTTAAGTAGTTTAGTGTCTAAATGAATGTTATAGAAGTATATTTCGCCAAAAAGTATTGGGGATTGGTTCGTTGCAAGATCAGGTTACATTTTTTTTCGCATATAAATCAAGGTTTTCAATAACAGCTTTACCTGAAGGTTGGTTTGATAATTTGCTGATGCCAAAATACCATGACAATGCAATTGTCACAGTCACAAAACACTTTCCCGTTTCAACCAACATGTTGTTCAGACTCATAGTGACCAGTGCTTCCAATGTGTTTTGAGCACAAAAAGGGTCGTAAATGTCTATATATTCTTTTCTTTAACAGCCGGTATTTCATTTTCAAATTTAATCTTCGCTGATTGTGTGCCAATAGAATTAACTATTCAAGACTGGTATGCAAGATGGTTCCCTTTTGGTTTTCACCTTTTTTCCAGCGTAGAAGGTATATTCATCTTTGTAATGAAGGGTAAAGTTTTTTTGAACTGTCTCCATATAATAAATAGTGATGGTATATATGATTTATACTAGATCGCTTTTATTATAGATGTATGCATGTTTATTGAACATACGCGACTTATTGCAATTAAAGCAGGCCGTATTATATAAATTTACTCAGTGTTTGGACTATGAGACTGTGGAATCTGACATAAACCAATCAAAGTCGACCTGTTAATTAATTAAATAATAGTTATAATCCCTCGAGATTTTCTTGCTTGTTTTGTACAAACTTATAGGTGAATTGATACAGGTGTCACTGTCCTGCTGAATAGTAATAGATGGCCTTCCTCGTTTAGTGAAAAGTTGCGAGCAAAAGACTGAAACAATTAGCCAAAACCTCACTGGGAATACCAACATTTAATAAAAGAGAGAGGGCGATTCTGATCTCGTTACCACTTACCAGTTTTTGTGAGCACGAGAAAGCAAGGCGTACGCGATTGGGGGGCTGGTTATATCAAGCCCGTTTAGCTTAAACGGTGGATAAGTCAAAATTAAATAACACTCTTAGATCTCTCTTGAATAAGTCAACTTGAATAGTATGCACTACATTAAAGTCCAAAACATTTAGTTCGCTTGTTAAATAAAACGATAAACTTGCTTTCTATTTTGAACTTATCCACCGTTTAAGCTAAACGGGCTTGATACAACCGGCCCCTGCATGTATTAGGGCCTGTTTATATGAAACAGGCTAGCTCAGCATTGCCGGGATCTCGCTTCACATATTTCACTATATTTGTAAAATTGCATTCAAATGGACCGGGCCAGCCCGGTTCTGGCGGGATCCTTTCTATCTTTACATCTAAATCTAATCACAAGTTTCATGTAGATAGAATAACAAAAGATATAATTGACTAAATACTGCCGAATGGATTTCTATTTCGACAACCCTTCCGCGCGCTGATTGGTTAAAATATGAGTGCAAGATCACATTGCTAGTACTTGCTTGATTAGATTTTTAATGTCAAATACCGAAATAAACATTTAATAAATATAGTAAATTTATCAAACTCGTGAACATTTGCCACTAAAATCTTTCGTATATCTAGCATTTTAAAACATATAAATGATTTGCAACTATGTCCAAATTTGCCTTAAATTTTAACAATATTCCCATAGTTTAGGACGTTTCAGTTATATAAGTACAACGGACAAAAATGCAAATTGCATGCCTTAAATGCAATAAACTATCCAATTATGATAATGTATTATTCTGTAAAGGCAAACAACTTTTTCCCTGGCTTATTGAAATATTGGTGTGTGCAAAATCATATTATAATGTAAATTTACAGTACGCGCGTGCTGATTGGGCGAGAAGCGTGTTTCTATAACTGTGTAAAAACACGGAAATTCTCCAGCCAAAATTGACGAGCCGGAAATTCTCCAGCCAAAATTGACAAGCGATGTAGTGTAGTAAGAATTTGTAATTGTTTCTCGTTCTCCCAAACTCCCACGCGTGTTTCGATGACTGTATAGAAACACAGCAAATGTTTTCTATTTCTTAATAATTGAACTCTAAAAGTCCAGACATCAAAGTTACGATTACTCCATGTATGACTTGCATATAACCAAATTTACCATAGCTATAGTTTCACTTAAATCTATAGATTACTTAAATCTATTTATATTATTATAGATGATTATATTTAAATATCTGGTAGGAGCAGTGATTCATTTTAGCAGATCCTTTAAGGCTGTGTATAAGGTACAAAATAGCACCCTTGTATATAATTTATAATTAATGATTGGTAAACCTTTAGAAATAATCGATATGTAGGTCGGTCCGAAAGTTACAGTCAGAGTTCTGAAAAGATATTCACACTCCAGTTATCCGTTCCAGCCAGTGTAACTCGAAAACAAGCAATGTTATGTAACAAAAAAAATAACATGAACGTAATGATTGTAAACTATTTATTTAATAGAACTCTCAAACTATCATAGTTAAGTTAAATTATATGACGGAAAGTTCATTCTTCCAAACTTGGTTAAATTCATTTCTAAATATATATGAATTATTAATGTTTTGAACTTCAAAATCGAAGCATCAAAATTCTACAATAGCTTTATTTATGATTAACTTAATCATGCACAATTT